CTTTGTAATGGGAATCTGAGCTGGAATCTGGGACCAAGTAAGTTCATCGATTCGGGGCTCATGAGTTCGCAGGCATCATCTCATCTTACTAACCATTGATAGCCACGGAGGTTGCCTATAATGCTCTAGCTACGAGGTTGCAAAATGATTTGCCTAATTTGAAAGCTCTTACACTGAACAATCGACCCGCTGAGCTAGGCACAAATGCTCCTCTATTTTTCGCTTGGGAAACTTTAAGTCACGGAAATAACGCCGCTTGAAGTGCTTTTCAAGAAATGTGTTGAAGCCAAGTTATGTACTTGTGACAGTAGTCATTTCCACAATGGCCAAAGGATCATCATTCAAAACAAAAACAATTTATTATCGTTGTCTACAGCTGACATATGCTCCTCCCACAATACTATTAACTATGAGTAGTTACGCTGTGCTACTACCTTCAAATGATGTATTAATTGCCGATATTTTTTGTCTGAATGCCTTACTTCTAGCAGCGGTAACTTTGAACGGCTCGACAACCTTCCCTGGTTCTACACATGTGAAGTAGACTTTCCGACTTGTTTCTTCTTTTGGCGCCCAGATGACTGCATGGTCATCAATCAGTTCTGAAACAATGTAAAGCTCAAGACATGACGTAAACAATCTTACCTATGTCTGGTAAAGCGGATGTTCTAAGCTCGATCTGGACTCCGGCGTCCCTGGTAGAGTTGGAGAGCACTATCTCCTGTTCACTGCTGGCATCAACTGGTCTGGTCCAGACCTGGTCTAGAAACCCAGGCACCTCGAGTGATAATATACCTTCGGATCGAGAAGACTGAGAACTGTCAAAATTTGGTCTACAAATACTATCTTCCAGTCCATGAATACGAAGAATGCCAGGGTTCTGAGATCGGATAGATATACTCGTTAGTAGGAACTCGGTTGACTAACACACAAGATCTGCAGATGATCGGAATAGGCATTCATTTACCGGTACTTGAAAGTAATTGTGAAAAAGAACCTTCGCAACTAACCCATCAGATGACTGGTCGCTTTGTGATTCTTCGCCTTTTTGGCCTTCTCTTGTGGTGCGATTGTCGACGCGGAGATCACAAGTCAAGCCGTCAGGATCGAGGGATATTCTAAATCTCACGATCAATTTTCTATGACTTTTCGGCAATACTGCTCAATTTCAATGTTGTTTTATATCTACAAAATTGTTACTCACCTGTATGACAATTCCCAGTCCCCCGACTCTTTTAACCAGGAGCCACCTAGGTTCGCCGGTACTTGGTACGATGTCAACCTCAAGAATATTTGAGATGTACCATTACATTCGAGGCTATTGGTCTCAAAATCTGGCCAGTCTCGATCGCTATCACATTCAGCTGCTCCAACAACATCCCATAAGCATGATCTAGCGAAGCCATGATGAGGCAGAGTATTCATATGGCGTATAATGCCAGTTTGATCCCCAGTTCCCATAATCCGCTGATCTTGACTGTTCCCGAAGACGGGAAAAATGACGGGAATACCCCCATGACGACTGGAATACGGCCAGCCTGGATCTAACCATAGAACTTCGCCTGCTTGTGGAGTGCGGAAAGAGAGTATGGTGGCACCTAATCTGAAAGAGCAGAATGATTAGACAAAATGCTGGACCTAGAATTGGATTTGTAAGACAAGAGAAGGCTCTTAGGCACCGTGATATTGATGCAGTCGCTCCAGATGCATGTTGAAGTTTGATCACCCCGCCATTTCCTTCCCTCAATTCCATCGCGTTTAATAGTCGATGTCCCATTTCCTGCCTCAGAGCATGAACCAAATTAAGAGCGAGAAGATAGGCGTATTATGGGTATTTAGATACTGTTTCGCCGCCTGTAGCTGAAGATCTATGATTGAATAGAAAATCTAAGCTGGAATACATTGAGAGATGCATGCATTAATTGCTGGATCTGGTGTTAAGGCTTGGTCATTTGCTGCGATTTTGCAATGGTTGAACACAACCAAGGGAATTCAGAGGATCGTGCGCATGCTTGCAGCAATCTGTCAGTCCAATGTCGTGGTATCGTGTGGAAGGGGGAGCAAGACTGGAAGCGAGTCGAGAGGGAGTCGCTTCCAACCTCAAAGTGGGCATCATCGTTCCAGGTGGGCATTCCAAGCGGGCTTCATTTGTTCATATTGTACATCCTGAAGGTGGGCATTAGATTGTGGCGCCCGCTATCAAAGTGGGTAATGGTCGATGATAATGCAGGTAAGTCTTAGCGCATCGTTGATCAGCAATTGCTCAGGAGATCGGAATACAAATATCTCCAAACTTACTTAAGGTCTCAATGCGAACGCAACCCTTGCAGCATTGATAACTCCTCTAATTCAATCCTCCATCTAATCCTCTATCTAAATTTATCTATTCTGACCAAAGATACAATGGCAGCTCCAAATAAATACCGCAATACTTTCTCACGATTCAATTCGCCCTTTTGGCAAGTCTTCTTGGTCAGTTTCGTCGCATTCGGGTAAGTTTTGAAAAAATTTCTTGACAATAAATTGCCGGCTCTGATAATGACGCAACCAGATGTCCTGGAATGTACAACGCCCTCACTGGAATCGGTGGAGGAGGGCAACTCGACAGCACTACCCAAGCCAAGTCCCATATTGCTCTCGCTTCAATCAGTGCTGCTGGAAATTTATTCATTGCTCCTATCATTACCAATCAGATTGGGCCAAAATGGACCTTGTTCATTGGAGGGTTGCCTTACGTGTTGTACGCTGGCTCCCTACTATGCTACTCTCACACCGAAAATCAAGGCTTTGTCGTCGGTGCGGGAGGAGTTCTCGGCATTGGAGCTTCACTCCTCTGGATTGCTCAAGGGGGCATTATGACAGGCTACCCCCTTCCAAGCCAGCAGGGTCGGTCTATCGGAGTCTTTTGGTTTATTTTCAAGTGAGTCTTCTATCCACTGCGTCAAGGCAACATGGAAGGTCAGGAGCAGGCTGACTCTAGGTGTTCTAGTCTTGGCGGGTTTCTCGGCTCCATCATCTCGTTTGGTATGAACTTTGATTCTCAATCAGGCACCATAACCGACGGTACTTACATCGCTTTCATGTGTATAATGGCTGCTGGTTGTTGCTGTGCCTTATTTCTCTTGAAGCCGCACAACGTAATTCGAGAGGATGGCACTCGAGCCGGCGTCCCAACCAAACCGCCAGTATGGCACGAATTCCTAGCCACGCTCAAAGTCTTGACTAGGTGGGAGGCAATCGCATTGATTCCATTTTGGTTTTCCGCAAATTGTAAGTGAACATCAATGACTGACATTGCCAAATGGAACAACAGCTAACCTGTCCGTGAGATTTCTATAATTACCAACAAAATTCGGTTAACGGTAAACTGTTTACAATTCGAACTCGCTCATTCAATGGAGGAATGTACTGGTTAGCACAAATGGTTTCAAGCTTCATCTTTGGAGCATTCCTGGACAATAAGCGCATGAATCGACGCTCTCGCGCCATATGGGGTTACATGTTGTCCGGCCTAATGGCCATCATTGTGTGGGGAGGCGGTTTGGGACTTCAGCTTCGAAGAGCCCCGACCGGCAACTACTATCAGTTACGCGAAATGGATCTGATCGAGTCGGGGACTAAGTACGCAGGCCCTTTCTTGCTCTATTTTGCATACGGCGCTTTTGATGCAGTCTGGCAGACTCTTTGCTATTGGACATTGGCCTATCTTGCAGACGAATCTCCCGAGCAGGCTGCACGATACGTTGGTGCTTTCAAAGCCTTCGAAGCAATGGGAAGTGCGATTGCCTCTAAGGTGAACTCCAGCGGCACCAACTTTAATACCGAGTTCGGTCTCAATTGCGGGTTCCTATTTCTTGGATGGTTGTGTGCCCTACCAGTTGTCTTTAGAGTCAAGGAGCCTCGCACTGAGACGGCAATTGTTGAGGGAATCGAAAGTCAGGATTATGCGAAGGGTGACGGCGCAGTTAGGACCTCTATCACCAAGGACGTGCTCCAAACGTGCTGAGAGGACAAGCTGTGTAATCTTTGGGGCCGTTTGTTGCCAGTATTTTCGAATGTTGGTGTTTTTCAAAGCTCACGTGGGAAACTTTTAGGTATGAGTGTTCAAATATCCTGTCACTGCAATATTAATCTCATGCGAGCAATGCAACCTATACTCGAAATGGCAATACTGCCCTCGTTAGAATTATCGTGGCGGATTTGAAAAAAAGAAACGGAAAGCCTAGTCTGTTATGAAGTAAATTTTGAATCGTCCTTGTTATTGAAAGAAATAGAATTGCTTCCGGCCACCGTCACCTCACTCTAGATGTCTCATTGTGTGATTTTGAGTAAGTCAGGGGCCAAATGCCAGGGTGGCGCATCATCAAGAACCATTGAAATTGTCAATGTTTCGAGTGGCCGGTGGACAGCCAGATTGGCGCCACTGACCAATCACACCGACCCACGACTCTCAATTAGGAAATAGCACTTTAGATATCTGATCAACAGAAAAGACGCGTTTGATGTACACGTGAACCAACAGTCAAACAGTAGAACCGGCCCAATGTCATGATTTATTTCCTTCAAAATACTTTTCTGTCACGGTGACCTCCCTTGTTATCCTGGGCCGAGAAGCTACAGCAATATATCGCTGACATTCGACGAACGCGACCTTCATATGAAAGAATCCGTACAGCAAGCGTCGCTATCACTATGCTCTATCGTCACCTGTAGGCCCTTAGCACTCAGTGGCCGCTTGCTAATAATCACACTTCAGTTAAAGAATATGACAAATTCAAGGCTACTAGGATGGCCGGAAGTCCTGATACAGTTACGACTTTTATTTCGTCATTACACTTCCAGCTCCTTCAGATACGGAGAGCGATATTGTAGCGGTAAATTGAAAATTGCAAGTTTATGACAGTAAATATAAGTCATTATTTGTATTCTAAGCATATATCATGTGTATGGGATATAGCAAGACCAAGGTACTTTGAGTGTATTTGTCCGGCCCGTCGTCCTCAACGAGGAGTGTAGTCGACGACAGGTGTCATGCCGACCTTGGGCAGATTCCCGTCGTCATCCTCACGCAGACCATAGAATACTCGTGTGGAGTCAATGTCGGACTGTTGGAGCTCCGGTGGCTCGTTTCGGTAGTTCATCACGGAGTACTCGTCAGGTTTACCTAGTCGAACGGCTCCGTGACCCTCTGTATGCATGTCGGAGGGAACGTCTCCAATTGCAAATTCATGTCGAAGACCCAAGACGTGTCCCAACTCATGGGTGAAGACCTTCCACACTACAACGAGTATTAGTGAGGTGGCCCGGTGGAGGGAGAAAGAAAGAATAGAATGGTAGACAAGCTTAGGGCTGACTTACTGTTGTTCTTCCAGTTCTTGTTAAACCCATAAGTATAGACAAATACGTAGTTGAGATCATTCGAGTTTGGGAAGAAAGCGGATGCTAGGACCGTTCCTTGAGAGCCGCCGTGGCAGAGGACAAAAGTTGCATCCTTCGCCAGAGGCACCCATTCGAAAGTCACGCCAACATTGGCACTGTTCCACTTCTCTGCAGCTATTGCAAGGTGTTCGGCAGCATGGTCAGCATCTTCTTGACTATTGAAACCAGCTCTCCAAGCAGCCCATTTAATCACCGAGCCGGGCACCCAACGAGGGCACTCGGCCGCAAGTCCAACGACGATATCCGAAGGGCCGTTTCTGAGATTGCGTGGGATGGGTGTCTGCGTGATGCATATGGGTTTCTCATGAACCTCTGGCGCATCAAGGGGCGCCTTGACTTCAACGGGTTCAATGGTCTCGAGAGCTGACTCGCCGAGAGTCTGCTCGACGGCATCCAACAGTATATCTTTGGTGGAAGGACCAACTGAAGCCATATTGCCGATTGAATGAGGAAACGTTCCGCACCAGTCTAGTGGTAGAGTAGCCAGGATTAAGTCTTCAAAGTGATGTTCAAGGACAATGATTTTTCTAGCGATGCTAGAGGAATAGAATTTGTGTTGAGAAGCACCGTCTTATATAGGGGGAGATGACTCTAGCACCCCCAGTGTCAACTGTCTGCGCAAGTCGCAATCTTTGCTTTGAGGCAATGTTGTGTCGGGCTACTTGATTCCATGTCTCTCCTTTACATTACGAACATGGAGTGGTCATAGTGCTCCAGACTTGATGCTGGCCCCGCCGAGACTCTTGGGCTCCTCATCGGAAATCTTGCGGCTGGCTGAACACTCTTCAAAGCATAGATCGGCATTGAAAGCTATGCTAGTCGACGCCATAGCGCTATAGTGTACTCAAACTCCAATCCGATTTGTTAATTGTCGATTTCTGATACGTCGTTGTCCGTGAGACTGTGAATGGGCGGTCAGCAGACGGCGACGCGGCGTCTCGACTTGTGAGAGCTGAAGAAGTCGGTGTTCGGACCAAGACATTCAGCTTCACTTGGCCGAGTTTCTTTTTCGTCGATAACTGATTAGCCCACTTCAGGATATTGAATGCACTGCAGTCCAGACCATTCCAGGCGCAGCTCAGCCATCTGGGGACTTTTGTAGGGGTTGGTAAGTGCGCGTTTCTGTCTGTGCGGCCCCTGTTATCAAAACACTCATGACAAGACTGAATAGTACGGACTACGGAATGAGGTGTCCTTCAACACTTCTTCAGCATCTTTCCTGCATGTCTAGTATGCGAGGCTTTGTCGTTCTGGAAGCCAGGCCACACGCTAGAGAAGGTTTCCCCGTCGATCGAACGGTGCTTTCTCCAGCTATTAGATGCAGACTTCTGTAATACCTCCTAATATGGATTAGCAGGCGGGATGTGCCTAGAACTGCGGCTAGATCCGCGGACTAGTCTTGTTAGTTCAACTGGAGCAACGCCCCTAAATGCCGATCCACGAAACTGGTGGGTTTTGGAGACAAAGAAGGGCAACTATTGAGAGCTTCAGCTGCACCGGGGATCGCCGAATAAGCTGGACTCGCCGCGTATGCGATGATGAATTCATGGCACGTGGTCCGTAGCCAAGCTGAGATAGTACCGGTTCTTGCTCCTGAATAGGATGAATTAAATTCTAGAAGCGAGTCTAGGGGAACCGGAATCCAGCCACATCACACAAGGTTTTGCTGAGATCATGTAGCTGATTGAGACACATCACCTCGAGCAGAACGATAGAGGCATCAGTTTCTGTATGTATCACTAGTTTACATCCCAAGATGCTGCTATTGATTTCTCATTCACCGCCAAAGGAACATAGTAGCTTTTGAATGACCAAACATGATGGTTCTAGACCACGTTCTACATCCGCCGCTTCGACGTTGACTACAAAATGATTGCATCTCCGAGTGTGTGAACTCCCCAGGCTGAGATTAATATCTCGTATCTCACTTCACCTAGTTCTATATTCAAATTATTCGAAACTTTCAATATGGGCAAGACCTCACTTGACTTTCTTTTCACCGACAAGAAGGCGTTTAAGCCAACTCGGGACTGGGCTGAGCTCATTCGCTCCGGGAAGGACAAGTATGCCAATTGTCGCGTCGTCTCTTTCACCCGTGTGAAGAACCTTGACTCCAAATGGAAACATGAATATCTTCAATTCATTGTAGAAGAAGAAACCGGGAAGGAGCGGGCGCGTGTCTATGCCGAACGAGGCAACGAAAAGGATCTTGACTGGGTGACTGTTGGTCCAGCTGAGACCACAGAGACTGGTAGCCGTAGTGACGATGATTTGCCACTACCGCTGGCGTCGTTGATCTTCGGTGGAAAATCTGGACAGGATGTCACTCAGCGCCCAACAGTGCTGGAAATTGCTGAGATCCTAGCAGCTACAACGATCATCGGCGGTGCGTACGAATTCTACGGACACAGTTGCTTCTGGTATGCATATACTGCATATGACGCAATCAAGCGACAGTTTGGCAAGTTTGCTACGGAAAAGGCGTGGAGATGGCTTGACATTGGGGGTGCTGGCAACGCCGGCGTCAAGGATGCCATAGGATTGGGCTGGCCTTTCCTTTTCAAGTTCTACTACGTCGTGAGTATGCTTTATAACACCGGGTCAAAACTATTACTAAGCCTGACGTAGGGTGATGCAAAGAAATTCAAGGAAGAGAGGGAGACCAACATGGCATTTTTCGGCGATGAGCGTCGTCAGATCGTAGACGCCAATGATATTGTCAACCAGGTGGCGTCCAACCTAAATACCGATGGATATCGATCCACCTACATTGATGCACTGCGAGCTCAGGGGATTGAACTGTCCGAGGTAGAGGTAAGCTTGATCGTCTGGGCAAGTGACCGAGGTTGAAGCTAACACAACCAGATCAATCGACTCGTTCAAACAAGCGAACAGAAGGCCAAGGACCAGGCCGACGACAACGCCAATTGGGCCAAGGAGGTACGCATACTTCTTCAAACTTCCCAACCACGATACTAATCAGTGAGGGCTATACGCTAATTCATGTGCCTAGTTTGATAATTTGAGCCAAACTTTGATCCAGCGAGTATCAGCGGACCCCGATGCCAACAAATATGCCAAGTACTACGAAGACTTCACGATCCCATCCGAAATGATCCCGCAAGAACTGAGTGAGATGCCGACAGCCGAGAAGATGGAAAGTGCGTTGGAGGAGACTGCACAAGCCCTGAAAGTTGTTGTTGGTCGCATTTTGTTGGAAGCTCAAAAGGAGCATGGACCCTAAGTATTAAGGTAGAGGAGGAGCAATGAATATGACACTATTCCAGTCTCACCGACTACAGTCACAAGTAGAAGTACCTCAATAAGTATATGCCAATTATAAGTATCTGAACTACCCAGAAAACGCTTGTTTGCAAACACAAAGTCCCGCAAATTCATAACTCCTATTTTTGAACGTTTACGCTCCCGACATCATTGGATTTCGGTAATCAAAGCTCCATCTTTGACTGGGTGTCATTCGTGCTCTTCTTCGCTGAGGCCTGTTGGGATTTGATTTTCCGTACTTGAAACGTGCCGGCAGCAGCGGGATGAAGGCCGGCATATCCAGTTCCATACATGACATAGTCATGGACAGGCGCTATTCCACCCTGGAAGTAAGAGTCCAGGATGACCTCCGCCACGACCTGACCAGTGTGCTTGTTCAGAGCAACTAGGCTGCCGGGGCCAACGGGGAAAGGCGAGGTGCCGTTGATGGCACCTGTGGAGCCCGTGAGTACTATGTCGTTCGCAACAGAGGGAGTTACGAGTGACATGGTGTCCCGCGGAGAGGCAGTCTGCCAGATGATCTGGCCATCTTTGAGCCTAGCAGCTCCAAATGCGCTGTTGGAAATGGTCGTCTTGCCATCACCGCCGGGGAGCGTATAGTTCTTGCGCTCGCTATTCACAGCAGTGTAATAGATTGCCTGATCGTCCACTGCCATGCCCCAGATGAGACCACCTTCGAAGCCGTCTGGAGATGTGACGGTTGCCCAGAGAAGTGTCCCCGATGTCGCACTCATACCGTATAGATTCCCATTCTTTTGTCCAACCACAACAATGTCGAGCCCGTCGGGAGTGTATTCCGAGCCAAGAACGAAAGTAGGAGCCATGCCAAAATCCGCGTCGGGGCCAGGCGTATCGGGGCATTGCTCTGTATTTCCAGTCGGTGGGAAAAGAACACCGTCCAAGCACGCCACATTCCACGCATCCAGGGGGCTCAGCTGTCGCACCCAGTTGATTCTGCCTGTGTCCAGGTCATGTGCGAGGACGGCCTCCTGGAACACGTTGCGAGGCAGACATGGATCAGTTGTGAGCCCTTGCTGGATCACTGTAATGTTTGCAGTTGCATTTTGGCACTGCTCAAAAGCGTCTGGAAGCTGGTACGTATTCCCCGTTGCAATGAAGACCTGGTTCCGGATAGGGTCAATGGCAGGCTGAGATCCCCAAATCGCTGAGCCGCTGAAGTTGACACCAGAAGGAATCATTGCTTGTGTCCATACAAGACGTAACCTGCCGTGGCGTAAAGTGGCCGCGTTCATGGTGCCGATGAACGAACAGCATGGGTAGTCCTCGATCAAATCCGCGGCACCTTCCTCTAGGCTCGAAACCCCATAGTAGATCTTGCCCTTATACACGGTTGGTGACTGTGTAAGACTAGCGAACGGATGATCACTCAGCTGCAGTGAGTCAATGAGTTTTCCATTTGATTTGTCCAAAGTCAGAACCAGTGCGTGGGCAAGTGTCCCGATATATAGGACGTTGCCATCAGCAGCCGGGGTAGATCTCGAGATTGGAACGACAATGCCTAGTTGTATAGGATCCAGAGGCTTGTACTTGAGAATTATCTTTGTGATATTCGTCTCCCATAACACTTTGCATCGTTGATAATCCAGAGCCACAAGGAGTCCACTCCATGTAGGATAGTAAGCAACTCCGTCTTGGATTAGGGGTGCCGCGCTAACTCCAGGATTGTATTGCTGCTCGCAAACAAGCTCCAGAGACTCCACATTCGTCGAGCTCACAATGGCATCGGGTGCAGCCCACCGGTTGTTGTACAAGTCAGCTCCCCAGCCAAGCCAGCCGCCGGTGCGACTGGGTGGCGGTTGAGAGTCTGGAACCTGAAAAGAAGGAAACGCCTCCTCGAATTCTAGATACTGTGGAACGTGCTTGTGAGACCCGCCATGGAACCATCCTTGGTGGGATCCATAGTCGTAGAAATAGTGGGCAAATGTCCAGCTGGCGGCGATTGTGAAAAATGGTGTTGACAAGAGCCAGACCATTTTGTCAAATTGTGCAATAGGGCTGTTTGTCTATACCAGGAGCTATAGTTACGACATAACTAAGAAACAGTCCCCATTCGCCAAAGAGGGACATAGCATATATATGCATACGTTGTGGCATACCTCGAATGTCGAGCCAGATGACCTGCTTACAACTTGGATTCGTCAGGATTAGGGAGCATTTCAGCCCCTTACCACCCCTCTGGATTGAGAGGAGCCTGAACATGAAGACTGTTTGCCGATGAGCGTTCGTCAAGGGTCTTGTGGACAGTCAGCATTCAACGGCGCGCGCTGCAACCCTACGTCAGCGAGATGCAGCCATCACGAACTGTTAGATGGCTAAGCCTTCCCCCGCGTGTAACCCACGGGGGTCCTTATGAGACTCTAAAGATGTTCGTCAGGCTGACTCCTACTCTGGCGGGAGACTATTGCTTTGTGACTGGGCGTTAGGAATCATGATTCGCTGACGCACTTGGTCCCTAGAATCTGACCACGAAAGTCATGGGATGTGATCCAGGATTGCACCCTTAGTGCTGCGAGAGGCTGTTAAACTATCCATATAAGCTGACTTCAGCCCTCCCTTTCAGCCACTAAGCTCGCAGTCACCGTTTCCCCAAACGGGACACACAAATAGCAAATATAATCCATGTCGGTCCAGTATGCAGACAGACCCAGGGTATCTGACGGGCCAGTCCGAGGTGTGTAGCATGATGAGTGAACCTCCATAGTTTAGCTCATCATGCATCAATCTCAGATCTAGCAGGCCCTCCCGCCATCGGCTTGGCGATAAGGTTCGCACGGGAGTACCCCTTGAAGAGAGACTTGCATTTTGAACTCGACTAGCACCGAGGCTCATCTAGTCTACCGTAACAGGGCATATGCCGGCTCTTGCCCTTGATCGCCAGATGACGACCGGCTATCGGCCAACGGGCGGTGGCTCGAGACATCGATGTGCTTTCGCAAACGAACGGATGCCTCCTCGATTGTATCATCGTCGAGCTCGCAATGGAGCGGCTATTCAGACGAGGAGATCGGACAGCATTGGCTCCCTATCGCGGGACTCGGCGGGCCGAGAACCCACCTGCCTCGTCTGAGAGCACTGCCTGTTGCGCAGATGATGGACATGACCTAGAAGAATGCAGGCCAGCCAACGAACGGGTTCGGATTTGTAGCGCGATCTTGACGTTGCAGGCCTTCAGGATTCAGTAATGCGCTCCAGTCAGATCACCCGACGGGAGCAGGCGATGCTGGACTAACCACGAGCTTTTAGGCGGGGCATGCACCAAGAGCGAATGCCAATGTCTCCAAATTACCCCGCCGTGCCCCACTGTCGATGAAAGTTCGCAGCTCCAAATGACTGTCTTAAATAGCCTGAATGCGCTGGTAGCTGCTGCTTCCGTTGTCCATGTTACCGATGGTTTGATGTTGCTCGCAAGTCCTTTCTCTTTCTTTCCATCTTTCTGAGAGCTTCGATCCAGTTGGCTGTTATTGTCACTGTATTTCGCAAGACATTTCAGAAGTAAATACCTGTTCTAGCGACTACTATCCAGGCTCTAAGAGGCATCGACGTCACCAGGTGGGTGGGATACGACAGGAGACTCTTCAGATCGCAAAACATGGCCGACGCACCGTTCGCCTTCCTGCCTCTCGGCGCTATAATCCAGAGCTTCGTGGTCGACGGCACGAACATCGTCCAGGGATTTCCTACGACCGAGCTTTACCAATCTCACAACAGCCCCTTCTTCGGTGAGACCATCGGCCGTGTCGCAAACCGCATCAAGAATGCAAGGATCGACTCCTTGAACGGAAAGTCGTATGCGCTGGCCGCTAACAACGGGCCGAACAACCTACACGGTGGCAACGTCGGCTGGGGTAAGAAGATATGGGCTGGCCCGACACCTGTTGGACTGCGCGATATCCCGGGGGTCGAGAGTTTACAGGGAGGAGAGAGCGTCACGTTCACCTTGAAGAGCGAAGATGGGGAGGAGGGATTCCCCGGAACTGTGGAAGCCAAGGTCACCTACACCACAGGAACCCAGACCATAAACGGCAAGGAGGCGGTCGTGTTGGGCATTGAGTACGAGGCTCAGTTGACAGGTGGCGCAGAGGAGACGGCCATCAACATGACGAATCACTCGTGAGTTTCCACAAAGTTACGCACATATAGCTGAATAATCGCGATTGACGACTCGTAGGTACTTCAACCTGACCGGCGGCCCCTCGATTGCCGGCACAGAGGTTGAGATTGTCACCAACTCATACCTCCCTGTCGATGACGGCGGTATTCCCACCGGCGGTCCCCAGCCCTTTAGCAAGTTTGAAGGCAAGAAGCCCTTCACCTTGGGACCTCAGGACCCGGATATCGACGACTGCTTCGTTGTCAACGAGGATCCGAGCAGTGTTCCCTTGGACACCAGGAAGTCAACCTTGACCAGATTGGTTTCGGCTTTCAGCCCCGATTCCAAAATCCATCTCGAAGTCCACAGCACTGAGCCTGCCTTCCAATTCTATACCGGCAAGTACATCGACGTCCCAGAAGTAGCCGGTGTCTCGGCACGAGGGGCTCGTAGTGGTTTCTGCGTGGAGCCTAGCCGATACGTCAACGCCATCAATGTTCCAGAATGGAAGAACATGATGCTTCTTAAGAAGGGTGAGACTTATGGGTGTCGTGTTGTCTATAAGGGTTGGAAGGAGTAGATGAAAAACTGGGGTATCATAAATCTGTAAAATTGACACTTTGAGAAGAATATCTATTCTAAGTGCTCAAACATCCTCCAAATCTGCATCCGGATCCCCATCAAGGCTACCCTTTGCCGAGTCAGCAGCCTTGGCTCCTTGTTTTTTGTAGAGACCAGCAAGGAAGTCGCTTGTGCTAGCTTCATCGATGCTCTTATCGTCTCGTTTTCTGAGAAACCTGGGGAATCTCAGACTCAGGCCGCGCTCGTCGCTGACAAGTCCAATTGCGGCCGTGTAAGTCGGGCTCAGAGTGATGTCGGCGAACGCCATCTCCCATACTTCTTGCGGCTCGAACCACACGTCTGGCTCTGGCCCAGAATATTCCACAAAGCTCGGTTTCTGCGACCGAGTGTTCTGTCTTTCGCCGTCCTCGCCATCGTCATAGAATTCCCGGTTTGCTTTGTAAAATGCATCAGTAAAGCCTGACATGCACTTCGTGACAACATCCAAGGATCCGGTCTCCTCGTTACGGCATGCCATCAAAATGGGCGACCACCATTTGGCTTTTCGGCCTTGGCCGTGCCAACCCGCAACTGGTATCAAATCCAAGGTGTCAAAGGCTGAGTGGTAGTCCTTCTTAACTTTCAGCCAAGAGTCAAGGCGCTTATCGGGCTCATATGTTGGAAGCAGGGGCTTTCGCCGTGTTTTCTTCTTCTCCTCTCCGTTAGTATCTGATGTCTTCTTCTTCTTGCCTTTGGGCTTAACGTCGACTTTCGTGAGAGTAAGCTTTTCCGTCTCATCCCTATTCTGTTCCTGCTCATCGCCTTGGTAGATCAAATCGGGAAGGTTGTCTAAAATCTTCACCATAATGCCTTCACACTTCATATCGGTTGCTTGTTTGAAGAAATCTGAAACGGTCTCAGAGTCTTCAGATGTTGCATCTATGCTTTTCACCCATGTGAATTGATACGGCACCTCTGTAAATAATGATCGGAGGAGCTCACGGCGTTCTCGAAAAGGTCGATCCAGAAGGGGTTGGCCATTCAGGTACATCAAGTCAAAAGCAAACATGCAGACGTCGATGGTAACACTGCCAATAGCGACATCCTTTCTGGCCCTGTTAGCAAGGGTTTGGAAAGTCTTCAGGTCGCCGTTTTGCCTATCCACCGCCACAACTTCGCCTTCCATGATGAAACTACCAACACCATCGTCACGGATCTTAGGCATCAAGGCGACGAGATCTGGATACTTGTCCGTCATGACTTCGAGATGCCGAGAGAAAATTGTGACCTTGCCTTTTTCATCACAATGTATCTGAGCTCTCTGGCCATCGTACTTGAATTCGCATGCAAAGTCTCGACCTTGAAGCTTTGTAAGCATCTCCGTCAGATCTCGAGTAATACTACCAAGCATTGGACGAAGTGGAATGTGCATGGTAAGCCCGCAACGGAGAAGGAGCTCGTCCGAAATGCCGATCTCCAGTAGGACAGGCACAAGGTCATTATAGTTTGGTCGCCTGGCGAAACAAGCCTTCACAATCTCTTCCGCCTTCTGATAGACCTCAGCAAGCTCCTCCTTTTTCAGAGAAGATAGCTCTTGTTGGCTTCTGACAGGAAAGTCTGCATCCGCCGGTCGCGACAGAAGAAATGCTCGGGACAATGCAATGAGCATGGTCGTCTTGACGGCACCAATCCGAAGATGCTGACACAGTGTCCGTACAATGTATCTACTCTCCTCGCCACCACGAGCATCCTGTAGCAAGCGATCCACGATGCTCTGCTTGTGCTGTACACTTCCTTGGCCTTGGCTATGTGCGATCTTGACCAAGGACTGGTAGACTCCTTTGATTGTGAGGGGCTTTGGTTTCCGTAGGGTAAAGCTCTGCTTCTTCTTGGCCTCAAATGCTACATCTCCAGGATCACCGTATTTGTCATAAATTGTTTTCAATGCACGTCCATCGAGCCCGCAGACCTGCTTGAGGGCTTTCGAAATTGCCGAACCACCCAATCCTAATTCAAGAGAGATATACGGCGGAGAAATGGCATTGGTAGCTAGCCATACTGCCGGAAGCAAGCTGGATGGGTCGGCCTCGATCAATACCCGAACACAGTTGACCAGAGTGTCGACGATCTTGATGCGACTCTGTGTACTGCTTACAAGGACAAAACATCTCGTTAGGAGAGCATACGAAGCGTTCCCTCCTTCCGCTTCCCAGGCTTGTCTGAGCTGTGGAGCGTATTTTGACGGTTCAAATACTAGAGGGCTCTCATCTAGTGGAATCGAGGCAGACGTTGTGTCCTCCACGGAGGCGACGGACTGCAAAGACAGCGTGTTCGCCAATTTGGGCGTCGTTGCTGCCGGCGATGGACTGAAAGTGCTGGCAGGACGTTTTGGAGTTACTGCTGGTGAGGCGTTGGTGACATCTGGCTGCGGTACATCCACATCGTCAATCCGCTCGAACTGACCCCCAGATTGTGCTGACGCCGCCTCCTGATTCCAATCGGCCTGGAGCTTCCTCGCCAGCTCCTCGTCAGTCAGCTCGAGCCCTGGTGTCTGTTCTGCACCCAAAGTTTGCACAGGCGTCGGGGAAATTCTCGTCTGTTTCTGCTTCGCGAAAAAGTACTCCAAGCCTTTGGTCTGAGGCTGACTGGAGTCGCCGTTTAGTTTCCGCTTCTTCGCTGGGCTAGCCATTTCGTTGCCGTCCCCTGAGCGCGGTGCTGATATTCAGACCTGCAAACTATCCCAATATTGACCTCCCATGTTGATAGAATGAGCCTTCAAACCTGACTCAATTGAACCCTCACTTTTCCAACCGCAACTGTCCGTTGAATGGTGATGTCACCCGAGTCGCGCCCATTCAATACGCGTAGGCTAGCGAGCACGGACCATCAAACGCCACTTTCTCGCGGTCTCATCTGAGACGGAACTGCACTTTCGCCGGCTCACCGAGAGCTAGACCTAACTCAGCCAAGTGCTTCACACAACGGCGGGCTTCGAAATCGCAGGCAGCCCCACCATCAAAAGTTGTCACTGGGACGATCACGACGACGACCTCGCCTCTCAAAGCGATATCCCACCACAGATTGCCCATCATGAACGGCGAGGACCCCCAAGAGCGACCGGACTACGTCACCAGCATCATAAATGGCCTGGAAAGATATAACCCCGAGGCGGTAGGCACACTCGAGACCTACCTCCAGCAGCAATGCGAACAGAGATTCTGCGACAGCAATGCAAATCGCACACTGCTGAAGTTGTGAGTTGCGAATTCCTCTCTATTGTGCTCATCCTGTTTTCCGATGTTCTCTGATGATCAGTTAACGTTTCCTATTACCTGAGTCGTTTTTCGTGGTTTTATCGATCTCGATTGCGAATGAAGTCACCTATTAGTGATATCTGAATTTCCATCATCTTTGCCTTCGCTTTATCACGCTTGCGCCTTATGTTTAGGGCCCATGTGCTAACGTTGTTCGACATCAGGTACCAGCTCAACCCTGATAGAATCAAGGATGAAGTTATCACCAATATCCTCGTCAAGGCTATGACGCAGTTCCCCTCCTCACAGTTCAACCTCGCCATGCATCTTATCAATCCATCCTCCTTCTCCGCGACGTCAGAGCTTTCCGAGGCAGTGAGCAAACTTCGCGCCCTGAACCTCCAACTCGAGGGTGCGCAGTACGCCCGATTCTGGGCTACACTCGACTCCGACGATCTCTACGCCGATCTCACCACCGATATTGATGGTTTCGAGGAGATGGTGCGCCTACGGATCGCTCAGCTCGTATCGCAGGCTTTCCGGGAAATTGAGCTACCTGTCCTAGAGCAGTGGCTGGGTATGGAGGGAGATGCCGTCAAGAAATTTGTGTCGGAGACATGTGGCTGGAAGATCGATGGCACAACAGTATTGATCCCCAAGAACCCGGAGAACGAGGCGAAGAAGGCAGAGATCAGGGAGGATGTAAACGTGGACATGTTTGCAAGAGTCATCCGGAGATCATGGGAGGAGGCTGCTTAAGAATATCCAGCGGTTTCTTTGGACACTGAAGGTCCTGACGAGAGCCTCGGGCAGGAAATGGCAGGGTGATAAGGTTAGCATTTAGGGGGCAAAATCCTCGGCGTTCTTTGGGACTTGTTCAACTTCAATTTGTTGGAGAAGTTTATAGTCGCATTTTCCGTGTCACGACATGGCGATTGATAGACAGAAATGGGATCATGATGACCTGATACATGCTCCCTGGCTTTGTGTGCTTTGAAAACTACGCTGCTGTCTATGACGCTCTATCTCTTCATCGTAAGTTCTTCCCACTGCACGCCAACCCATTCTTCTAGGTATCCGGGTTCTCCCTCGCCTGCACTTCTCTCCTGGCAATCCCGCTCACAAACTCCTACGATGATCGTTCCCCAGTCCATGCCCTCCAGTCCCTCCTCCTCAGCCTCCAACTCTGTAATTGCCTGGGGAGTCAGTTGCACCTCGAACACCCTGTTGGCACCACAGTTCCCGCACCTCGGGATGCCATTGGTACCAGCATCATGCAACCGCTTTCCAACCTCGTCTGCTTTCGAGTATAGAAGCGGCTGGCCACTAAATTCGTATCGAATACACTGCTCCGGGTTCTGTCCTACACGGTCGGCGAATTTCTGGAATGTACTATCCATCGTTGACTCAAATACGACCTTATCTTCTTTTCCAGAGCCAGAGGACGGTCCCCCTTCATCAAGATCCATTGTTGTGGTCGCTTGAGGAGGAGGGAGCGGTATGGGGTCGAGGGTCTCGTACTCGGCATCGGAGAGATACATGACGGGATATGACTGCGGTTGGTCTGACTCGGACGGCCACGGTTCTGGAGGAGGGGGAGGTCCATGGGTCTGCTGTGGATTGTTTAGAGACAGTGTCTCAGCGAAAGTCTTTGGTAGATCCTTTACTGCTTCCTCGGTCTCCGTCTTGGATTCTGCAACCTTTGCTTGTGAGGAGGTAGAGTCAAAGGGGTTGGCACCGCCTGGGGATGGCGATTTTGCAAAAGGATTCGCGCCTGAAGATTTTGCGAATGGATTTACTGGAGCCGACCCTCCTGCGGCTGGCTTCACACCGAACAAGGCTTCTCCGAGACCCGACCTAGGATCAATCGGCTTCGATTCCTCCCTGGATGCCGTGACTGTATTCTTCTTCTCTTGCCGGGCTGTTGAACCCGGTGCTACTCGTAGACCTCGCAGCGCTCGTATGCTTCCCTCTCTTCTCCGGCACGACTTGCGACGGCAGGAGAAAACATACAATCGTCTCTCGTGGCCGGGGAATCGCTCTGGTAGTTCGCCGTTCAGTTGCAAAATCAGAACCATAAGGTCTTTGCAGATCTTGCATCTCGCGAGAGCAGCTGAAGGAGCTTTCTCGGCGTCGAGCCAATCCTAATCTACCGTTAATTACAAGGCGAAGAGTGAATGGCGGGGCATCTCATACCGGTTTACCACCTAGCCGGCTTGTAGTTTCGCCTTTGGATTCCTTTGACGCATATCCTAGAAGGACATCGGTCTCAGTGAAGTCCTCGTTCTCTTCTATCGAGTCGTCGCTATCGTAGGAAGCCATGGCTGTCGCTGTAGAGAGGTTGTTGCTCTCAAAAAGTCGCCAATGTGGGGTTAAATTTTTTGGATATCGACTTTTTGGTGGGGCATTTTGCTCCCAGCATCACCGTCACTGTTAGGCACCGTACACTTAATATCACCACGCACTATACAAAGAATCCATGATCTCATTCAAATCTATTATGTGAACGCCTTTTTTGTGCGCAGATAACTCTTACAGTGGTATCTCACATTTTCCTGGCCTTTACTCCTCAGGTCCGTCCATCCCTGGTCCTGGTCCACCTTGCCTGCCCATCTGGCGAGCCTTCAGCAACTCATCGCATAGCAGTAGGTTTGATGCAATGCCGGAACTGGAGGCAATGCAGTTTCTCAAAACACGGAATGAGTCGTACACGCCCTCCAGTGTAGGGTCCATGGGCTGTCCCGTGGACAGATCCAATCCGACAACATTCCCATCGGCATGCTCATCTTGCAGGGCGGCAACTGTATGCATTGATTAGTACATAACATTCATCAAGATGTGAGAAAGTACACTTACGAGCATCCTGGATGTCGTGGCCAGCGTTCGCAGCAAGAGTCTTGGGAATGATCAACAGAGCATCAGCAAATGCTTCAACTCCCCACTTCGCCTTGCCCTTAACCGTCTTCGCGAAAGCATCGCTCTTTAGGTGTGTAGCAGCAGCAACCTGGAAAGCACCACCGCCTGGAACCACGCTCTTGTCCACAATCATGTTGTAAACACTTCGTAGTCCATCTCGTACAGCGTCGGTAATCTGAGTGATGGTGTGCGCATTCGGTCCCTTGATAAGAAGGGTCACAGACTTGGGGTCCTTGACATCCTCCACGAAAGTGTACTTCTCCTCGCCGAGTTGCTGCTCATAGACTAGGCCAGCCCATCCCAGAATATCGGGAGACATGTCGTCAACACTATTCTGGGCAATACCTCCGCAAATAAGCTGTAATCTCTCCATGTTCCTTCTCTTCGCTCTTCGGAGTGCCAGAATGCCATTCTTTGCCAGCACATCCAGTGACAGGGGATCAATGCCCTTCTGGTTGATGATGACAAAGTTCTTTTTCGGATCATTGCCACAAACCTCCTTCTTGAGCTCCACAATCTTCTTTAACTTTGCATCAACGAATCTCCGCTCGCTCTCGACCAGCTTGTCCCGCTGCTCAGCACTAGAGTAGAAGAATCCAGAGTTGATTTCAGACTTTTCGTACTCCAAGCTGACGTTGAGAGTAAGGATGTAAGCATTCTCGACACGTTTAGGCATGTCTGGATGCCTAGCGCCGTGATCCAACGCCAAACCCTTGATAAGCTGTGTTTCGGAAGCGGTCCGATGTTGCATCTTCATGATCTCCACCATGTGTAGGTCGGGCTTCGCCGGAGCTTCATAGATGGCTAGGACGGCATCCACGATATCCGGCGTGAGCTTACTTGCGAGAGTTGCATTCAGCTTCGTAGCGAGAGATGTCCGGGCGACGTTTAGGAGGAGTTCTCGGTCCACTTCTTTAGGCAGCTTGAACTGGTCGAGGAACTTAAGAGTCTCGTTCTTCGCAATCTCGAAGCCATCGGTGATGATTCGGGGGTGTAGACCCTCTGAAATATATCGGTCGGCTTGCTTTAGCAGTTCGCCGATGAGGAGCACTGCCGAGGTTGTTCCATCTCCGCAAATGTCATCTTGTGCGGTAGCCGCTCTCGCGATCATGACAGCGGTAGGATTCTGTATCTGCATCTCCCGTAGTAGAACATTACCGTCTTTCGTAAGCTTGATTTGTCCGGCGCCATCCACCAACCTATTACCACATTTAGCATGAAAGGACCGCAGCGAGATGGAAGGGGGAATACAGCATACATTTTGATAGTACCCAGAGGGCCCAGGTTTGACTTCAAGACATCCTGCAAGCCTTCACCAGCACTGATGTTGACCTTCAGAGCTTCACCCCGCCGCTGTCGCCACGGTTAGTCTGCGTTTAGCCACCTGCTCGCACGGGACTGTCCTTACTCTTGACTCGGCCTTCGGGTTGAGGAGCTGCGCAGCAGACATGATTGCTCACTGCAGCTGTCGGATATGTGTTGCGGTGTTTTAAAGCACCGTGTGTCGCCAGGCAGTTATCGGTCGCTGTCGTGGTATTGAGTGGGTGTCTAATCCAGTCTCCGCTACTTGAACTTTTTTTGTGCTGCCTCGAGGCACGGGGCAGGCTGCGGGATGAGGTACAGCTGGCGCACCTGCAGGGGTCGACGTGAGCTTTGGCCAATGGGATGCTAGCTAGTGTCTACTTCCCCTCCCACCTCGGTCAGCTGGTAGACTCGGTAGATTCCATCTCACAACCTAAAGTGCCCTCACTGACGCAACGCTGAATAGGGATTGCCCATGTGTCGCCGCGGTTATCTCATTTGTGGTCAGACATGGGCAGAGCCTCCCTTCATGAAACGTCATGATATCGCCCAGATTCATGCGTTTGACATGATTATTCGCTTTCACATTTGCCATTATATCCAAATTGCACGCTGAGTAGCAATACAACATGAAGATGAAACTGAGTAGCCTTGCTGGGTGTGTGGTGGCGGCCGCCGCTTCAGCCGTGGGATCTGACAGTGCCGATGTTAAACAAGTTGCCATCATTGGTCAGTATCTTTCATCTCAACGCCTCCCTCACTCTTTGCACTGGTGGAATGCGAAAGAAGTGATGTGTAATAGAGAGCCTTGCCATCTCTACCTATCAGACGGTCGAGAGCAAGCCTCTTGCGAGCTTCTTCAGGTAATGGGTGTCAACCAGTGTTAGCCTTCAACATGCTGCCGGCAGCATCTCAAATTCTGGTGACCGAGGACACCCCCAGGGTCGTTTTAGGTTTTGCGCTCACTATTCAACGATAGTACGTGTCAGCTGACGATATTTCCAGGTGCTGGCGCCGCAGGTGCTTCGACAGCGTACTATTTACAGAAGTATGCTGAGCGTGATGGTGTTGCTGTCAACATTACAATATTTGAGAAAACGGATCATATTGGCGGACGCACACTGACTGTCAACCCATATGACAATCCCCACGAAGCAGTAGAGCTCGGCGCTTCCATCTTTGTTGAGCAGAACTTTATTCTCTATAATGCCAGCCAGGAATTTGAGTTACCGCTCAGGGATCCCTACGGAAAGGGTGCCGATTCGCTTGTCATTATTTGGGACGGCGAGAAGATTGTCTTCGAACAATCTGAAGACAGCTGGCAATGGTGGGATCTCACCAAGCTTTTTTGGCGTTATGGGCTGGCTCCTTACCGAACGAAGAAGTTAGTAGGAGCGGCTCAAACAAAATTCCACAAGCTGTATGAATCGCCTTATTTTCCTTTCAGGTCTCTAACAGCAAGGGCTTTCGAATTGGATCTCGCCAGCCTTACCGGACAGACAGGGGAACAGTACTTGGAGCAGAACAATGTTGGACAATCATTTGCTCACGAAATTATTCAAGCAGCTACTAGAGTGAATTACGCCACGAATCTAGGGAAAATCCACGGCCTCACCACATTAGTGTCTATGGCTCCTGAGGGTGCCGTTGCTGTTAGTGGAGGCAACTGGCGGATCTTCGACCGAATGGTCAAGAATACGGGAGCTGCATTATATCTGAATACATCCGTATCTTCGATAACCCTCGACGGTAAGCAGGCCAATGCTGCCGAGGCCAAGTACTTGATCAGCACACGACCAACCGATAAGGAAGATGCGAATGAAGAGACAGACGTCATCGCTTTCGATGACGTGGTCATCGCAACACCGTATCAGTTCAGCAATATCAAGACAGCTGGCGACATCATCAAGACTGCCATCGACGAGATACCCTATGTGCGATTGCACGTCACCATATTCGCCTCTCCTTTCCAAATGAGCCCAGACTTCTTCAGCCTGGATGACAAAGCCAAGATCCCTACAAGCGTTCTCACCACGCTCGCAGATGACGACGATGCTAGCTCGGGAGCCAATGGCTCAGGCAAGGCAGGCTTTTTCTCCATCAGCAGCCTACGCACGATCGTCAATCCAGCCACTTTGCAAGAAGAATACTTGTACAAGATCTTCTCTCCCGAGAAGATCACCCCCGAATTCCTCTCACAGTTGCTTGGAGTTCCCGTACCAGACTCTTTCATCACGCCCCAGGAGAGTGGCGATGAGGGAGATACAGTGATATTACAGCCAATCTCATGGTACTATCCGCATGTATTCTTCTCATATCCTCAAGAACTTCCGCGCGTTACTTTTCAGGACCCTATCCTCCGCGAAGGCCTGTATTACACGTCCGGTATGGAGAGTTTCATCTCGACCATGGAGACGAGCGCTTTGATGGGGATGAACGTCGCGAGACTCATTGTGGACAACTGTCTTGGACTTAACACTGGAAATGCTGTCGATAAGGAGCAGGCACGGCCCTCTCCACAAAAGGGGAAGCAGAGCATCTTGGCTGGCGTGCAAGAAGATGAGCTGTGAAGGAGCAACTAGCTCGAGAACGTCATGAGAACAACTATAGAAGAATGAGAATTTGTTGTATTCCAATGACCTATTCAAAACTGAGCGGGGGGAATAACTTAGTGCCAGGGCTACTATCAAGGATTAGACTGCAAAAGAATACACTGAAATATTCACAGCACAAAAACAGGGTCTCGGGGACCCGGTGGGTGCACTTGTTGTATTGAGCGCCATATTATCCCCCCGATCCTGAATATGGCTTACCAATCTTCCCACGGGTATTTCTCACGATATGATGCACGCCTTCTCAGCTCCGCTGCTCCTTTCGCAGCGACACTGCTGCATTCCTCGCTGAAAATAGGTGGCACATACCCTAGATGATCCTTCATTGCTCCTCTTAAGTGTTCTATAAAGTTGCCATGGACCATTTGATCGCCCGTGACGATAATGAACTCTGGCTTCTCGACTGGGGATATGTGACCATGATTTCAAGTAAGGTCGTGTTAAGCCCCTGCCAATATTGGCCAGGGCTCGGGTACGTGCTCAAGGCGTCGGCCCCAAGACTGTAATTCTCTACGCGTCGATGAGGAGGTTCATACAGCTGGAACCCAGAATACAATACCGGCAGTGACATTGTGAGCGCGGAGCGAGTATAGTGCGCGGCGATGATGTACCTATCCGGGAAGTCTCGGTTCTCATCCCAACATCTGGTCTCGTTCTTGTAGTGCTCGCAAAGTCCAAAACCATACCCAACGAACGCGGTCGCACTTTCCCAGAACGCAGGGAAATCTGGAATTGAAGGCTTTACATGTTGAATGCCAGAATATTCAGAAACATCCTCCGCGTCTTCTTCGTAGAAGGCAATGAGATGAGTAATAGTGAGAGATCCACTGGAAATTTTGGACGCTGAACTTCAACTCGATTCTAGTGCGAAGTGTCTTGACCATGCTCCCTAAGACGCCTACTTCAAATGAGGCAGGGAGTCCAAGTTGCTTCAGAGCAGCTCTGGCCTTGACTCTTGGAAGATCCATGAAGTAATCGTCCAGACCATTATATGGCGGCCTTGTAACAAACAGAGCATTGATACATTAATAGTGCAACCATAAGGAACTGAACCTTACGCTAGGTGCCGCGAAGACTAAAGCGACAGTTTAGCTATGGTCCGACGATAGACACCATCGCCCTCAATGCTCCGAAATACGGTTTCCTGGGTACCATCGAGATGGTCAAATATGATCGCAGCCGCTGCATATGATGATTGAAGGCTGAAGCCCACACTGAAGTTGCCCGTATATCCTGATTTAGGCTTCGTTAATAGCATTATCTGGTTTTGATTCTTGTCCTGGGCTTCGCGGGAGCTTTCAAAAGAGAGATTGTAGGTGCAAATAGAAACAGAAACAGTATCAGAAGGAACCCATATGCTTTGATTCCCCGGACCGACGGGCTCACTACAAAAAGAACTGCAATAGCTGCAAGGCTTTGTGTATTACACATCTTCTTTTCTCGTGCAGTCACCTATTCGTTTAGCTTTGGAAGAAAAGCTAGGATTGCAAATTGCAAAAACGACCATCAAGCCGTTCCTGGGAAGAGAATAGGATGAAATATATGGCTCAGCATTGGGCGCCCGCTGATGTTGATTGTACAAGTGACCAATTGCGTGGCTAAATCGCAATTGAAACCAATCAAACACGACACTTTAGTTGCAAACAACATCCTTAAGCCTGGGCCATTTACTTAGCTAGTGTGGTCCATGCAATGATTGCATTTACGAACTTGAAGCAATGATAACTGTCGGCGGTTGGCATCCCCAAAGGGAATATTGCCTAACCTTTTTTCTTTCGGTGGCGCTCGAAGCCGGCCAATGAGCCCAACCCGACAATCTAAACCTTTTGATTTATCAGTTACGACTATCGGTGTTTAGCTCGTCCATCCCATGACTTCCAATAGACGAAAAAGTGTCTGTCAAGAATGGCTACTGGGTATGCCTCGTACTCTGAGAGTCAACAGACACTCATTGTCTTAGCAACAACACAATTTCACCAACGACACAGCTAACTCAGTGAGAAATGCTACGGCTTCCAAGACCGTGTAAGCCAATATCTGCAAAGAAGGCCGGTGGTTGGTTGATCAGCTGTATGATCAGACATCCATACTACAATCACGGGGTCACCAAAGGGAGTGCCTCATCACGTGCGTGTCACGTGCTGACTGCTGGTGGGATGAACGATGCCACTCTTAAGTGACTTGTCAGGTTAGCGTGTCATCCGATGTATCTCCACGGTGGATGAAGGTGCCTGATGAAAAGCTGGTGCATGTCTCAGTTTCTGTGGCGTGAATGGCTGTTTGCAACACAAAGCTTAAGATGTGGCAACTTTGGGCAACTTTGGGGGCGACGTGCACCGCCACACGACCGCTAGCTGGGCAAACCCAGGCTAACCGACCCCGCCATCCAAACATCTTTCAGAAACTCCTTTGTTATGACGCACATCGCTCTTTCCACCATCAGCCGGCTACGAGATCAGGCTCTGGACAGCTTCCCGCCTGCCATCTCTTCCTCCTTAAAAAAACGCGGTAACCCTCTCGCACTCCCGCTCTCTCCTTCCGACCACACATTCCAGATTACCGAAGCCCTCTCACGAACATCACGCGCTGCCAGCAGTCATCATGTTCGTGCTTCGAAATGGTAAGTTTTGCCCCGCATGATAACAGCCCCACGATAGCTCCCCGGCAACAGCGAAAATTCGCAGTGAAAGTCAACAAACGGCCTTGAGCTCGCCACCCACGTCTTTCTTCCCATCGTCGGCATTATGCATTACTGATACGTGACTAACGTGATTTTTTATAGTTAGCAAGCTCATCTTCGGAGGAGGCGGCCAGGAGTCGATGATCGAGTTGCCCCAAGGACAACTGTACCTTGTCAGACCTTTGTCACCAAAAGGATACTCCGAACTTATCTTCAAAGACGCAGCCGCCCGAATCCGCAAGACTGCCCAGGACTTTCAGTACCAGCTCGTGGTGCAGCGTGTATATGAGGAGGGTGAGGAGGAACTGCTTGCGGAAGAGGAAGGTGAAGATGCTGCGATTGACGCACTTGCCTCCGACCGTGACGAAAAGACGTTCCTTCTCGACGAGGCGCTTGAATTCCGAGTCGAGAACAGAGAGGGCTCTGAGAAGGTTCTGTGTTGGAGAGATCTGAGCGGCGATACGGGGGATGTGTACGAATTCGTTTGCGATCACTCCATCCAACCCACCCAGGTGGACCAGTTCGAACTCGTTGCGAAGCAGTGCCAATACGAGCGGAAGTACAGGAAACCATTCACAACCGCGTCCGACGAAGATCTTCGCCAATTTGAGTTCGACGGCCAACCTATCCCACAGGCCAGCCCTCTACATTCACCAACACTCACGAGATCGATCGAATCCTCCGACTCCATGTTTCTGAGCAAGACTGCCCCAAACACGGGTGCAAAGCGGGACAAGATTCCCCCACAAGAACCCTTGGACAGCACACCGACTAGAAAAGGCAAGAATACACTCCCACCTAAGTCGGCTGCGCAACCCGAGGCTCGCGAGATTCTTGCTCTAGAAAATGCAGAACTCCATTTCTTCGATTTTCCTTCAGGTGCATTCGTCCAGCAGGATGCCTCAGTCACCGCAACGGTCTCCGAGGTTGGAACTTGGCAGTACTGGCTCCAGGTTGGCAGCAATGACCGTGACTGGCTAGGGATACCTGTTGTTGCTGATATCAACCCTGTTTTCAACTTCGAGTTCCTGTCATTCATCTTCAACCAGTTCTCAGATGACGGGTCAGCGTACTCTTGGCTTCTCCGCTTCAAAGACCAGGCGACTCTGGAACGGTTCCAAGAAGGTCTTCTGCGAGCTCTATGGGAGCAACTGAATGAGATCAAGTGGACCAAGATCAAGGAGCAAGAGCGAGACTACGTCACTGACGCCTTTGCGGATCTTGCTATGGAGGACGCTGACGCCAGAGAGGAAGAGCCGGAAGAAGAGATCATCGAGGAAGAAGAGGAAGAGGAGGACGATGACGCAGCTCGAAGTGAGAAGTACGACAGCGATGAGGAGCAGGATGATGTCGATGTCCTACCGAAAGACAAGGAGACAAATAAAGCTATTGCTGTTGGTTACAAGCACGACCGCTCGTTTGTTGTGCGAGGCTCGAAGATTGGAGTTTTCAAACATACACCCAATAACAAGCTCGAGTTTTCGACCAACATCAGCAAGGTTGAGACGCCTGGTGGGAAGCTTTTCACGCCAAAGAAGGTGATGCTTCACAACGAGGATAACAACATGATCCTTCAGAATGATACCGATCCGAACAAGCTATACCGCATGGATCTCGAATACGGCAAGGTTGTAGACGAATGGAAGGTTCATGACGATATTCCAGTGGTCACATTTGCTCCAGAGAACAAGTATGCCCAGATGACGCACGAACCAACCTTTTTGGGTATTAGCAGGAATGCTCTCTACAGAATTGATCCCCGTCTCGCCGGCAACAAACTTGTCGATTCCCAACTCAAGCAGTATGTGTCGAAGAACGACTTCAGTGCCGTCGCTACTACAGAGAAAGGTTACGTTGCGGTTGCATCCAACAAGGGAGACGTTCGCCTCTTTGACCGACTTGGCATCAATGCGAAGACACATATTCCAGCATTGGGCGAAGCAATTCTTGGTCTTGATGTTTCTGCTGACGGTCGCTGGGTGCTTGCCACTTGCCGAACTTACCTTCTCCTGATTGATGCGATGCAGAAGTCAGGCAAGAATGAGGGAAAGCTTGGCTTCGAAAAATCATTCGCTGCCGACTCCAAGCCTCAACCTCGCCGCCTCGCGCTCACGCCGGAGCACGTTGCGCAGTTCGCTTACGAGACTGGCAAAGGCGTTGCTTTCACACCAGCCAAATTCAACGTGGGTGAGGGCACCGAGGAGACTTCCATCATTACTGCTACCGGACCGTACGTCATTGAATGGAACCTGAAGAAGGTGCTTAGGGGCAACAAGGCACCATACATGATCAAGCGGTACACGGATGAGGTGAAGGCGGACGACTTCCGCTATGGTACGGACAAGAACGTCATTTATGCCCTGCCCCATGAAGTCAACATGCTGCCCCAGTCCAAGCTCAAGCGCCCGACGCGAGAATCGATCGCCGGAGAATTTGCTGGTGGACGACGAAGCACCAGTGGTGCCGGTCGCAGGACCTCAGGCCGTGTTGGGGGACTAGATAGTGGACGATACAAGCTCGGTAAGGACGATGTCGTCAACTCACCATATTAAGGGGGCAGGTTTTGTTTGGAGAAACACCTTGGGCATCTCTTACGGCGAGAGTGAGGATTTTGTAAGGCCCAAAGTGGCGGACAGGAAGACGAGAAGCAGCTGGTTGCTATTTTCGCTACCTACGTGTGTTGATGAGGGATAAAACAGAGAGGAGGAGTTAGGAATCACCGTCTCGTTTTGCGTGGGATTTGCTTTCTCATTTTTGATACCTCCCCTAGGCGAAGCCAATGGATTGTTAGCTTATGTAGATCATATGCTCATTTGCCCCTTTGTCTTCTTGGTCTTCCGTTTGACGCCGTGCGTAATCTCCTTTTTTCGCGATTGTAGTTGGTGCTTTAAGGGACCAGCCCTCTAGGGTCTTCGACGTTTTACAGCAGGTTGGGAAGGATTAGATAGATATCACATAGGCAGCCCCAACCGGATGCAGCAATTCTAATAATTGAACATTATGCTACTTTAACGATGTGTCAAAAAATGCCAATACTCCGGTGCTTGATTTGATTCGTGTCCCTTTGCAAATTCCATCCGTGAACCTGATCCCGTTTCCCATCGTGTGTGGCCCCACCCAGGCAGCGAAGCCACAACTCTCATGCTACAAAAGCAATTCGTTGTTTTTGTTCTTTTTATCCCCCCTCCTTCATCTACACATCCATCTGACATCCAGCCGCCACCGGTCCGTCAGACACAGTCCGTCGTGCGCGTCAATGCCCTCCGGTACCTGCGCCCCCGCGACCCGGAGACGCCCCCTGGTAGCGGCGGCGCCTATGCCGCAGCCATCTCGTTCTTGTTGGCCTCCTCGCCCTCCTTCTTCTCCTCGGCGGCGGCGGACCCGCCCGTGACCGCGTCGACGGCGCTCTTGACGGCGCCGCTGATGGCGCCGCCGACGTTGCGCAGGGCGATCTTGCTGCCGCTCTCGGCCTGGGGGTTGAGGCGGGTGAGCTCGGTGACGAAGCTCTGGCCCCACCAGGCGCTGGTGTACTTGAAGACGTAGCGCTCGAGCTTGCGGAAGTTGGCCTCGCGCTGCTCGGGGCTCATGGTGACGGCGTCGTGGATGGCGTTGGCCATGTCCTCGGTGTTCCAGGGGTTGACGATGAGGGAGCCGTTGAGCGACTGCGCGGCGCCGGTGAACTCGGACAGGATCATGACGCCGTGGCGCTCGCGCTGCGTGGCGATGTACTCGTACGAGACGAGGTTCATGCCGTCGCGCGTCGACGAGACCAGGCACACGTCCGACACGGCGTACAGCGCCGTCAGCTCGTCGAACGACACGCTCTGGTGCAGGAAGTGGATCGGCATGAACTCGATCGTCCCGAACTTGCCGTTGATCCGCCCGACCAGCTCGTTCACCACCGCCCGCAGGTTCTGGTACTCCTCCACGTCCTGGCGCGACGGCACCGCCACCTGCACGAGCACAATCTTGCCGATCCACTCTGGGTGCTCCGTCAGGAAGACCTCGAGCGCGTGCAGCTTCTGCGGCACGCCCTTGATGTAGTCCAGACGATCGACGCCGACGATCAGTTTCACCCCATCAAACTTTTTGGTGAGCGCCTCGATGCGCTTCTGCACGGTGGGCTTCTTGAGCCCTTCGACGAATTTGTCCGGGTCAATACCGATCGGGAAGGCGCCGACTGTCACGAAATTTCCGTTGAAGTCGACACCGTTGGGTGTAGTAGGAGTTGATCTAGCGTCGTGTTAACTTGTTCCTCCTCGACCAAGACATGCGACTGGAGACTTACAGTATGCGTGAGCAGCTGCTCAGGAAATGCCTGGCGTAGTCGTAGGTGTGGAATCCAATCAGGTCGCAGTGCAAGACGCCGAGCAGAAGAGCTTCTCTGACGGGCAGGATACGGTATATTTCGGAGCTGGGGAACGGTGTGTGCAGGAAGAAGCCAATCTTGACATCCTTCTTGGTGTTTCCGATCTCCTCGCGCAACATCTCGGGAAGGAGCATCAGATGGTAGTCGTGTACCCAGATCATGTCTCCGTCCTGCACATCCTGGATGACCGTCTTGGCGAACAGTCTGTTGACCTCGCGGTAGGCAGCCCACGCGGACTCGTCGAATGTGATCTCACCGGGGTGGTAGTGGAAGAGCGGCCAGAGGATGGAGTCTGTAGGCGGGCATGTTAGTTCTGGTGGAGCCTCACAACTGAAGTCAAATGGAATCACATACTAGAGAATCCATTGTAGTGCTTGTCGGCGAGGTCGTCGTCCACAAAGACGGGATGAGCATTATATTCCTTCTTTAGCTGATCAATCATAGGGCCGGCCTCATTGTCAGGGACCTCTAGGCCAGGCCAGCCGTACCATTCGAAGGTGGTGGTTTTTGAGAGACCGCTCAGGCCGGTGACGAGACCTCCCGAGGACATGGAGAAGCTGTACTGGCCATCCTCGGTTCGTTTGATGGTGATGGGCAGGCGATTTGAGACGAGCAGAAGACGCCCGGGGATCTGGTTACCGTCGACGACGCCGGGCATGTTTGCGGTCTAGGTCTAGGTTTGCAGGAGAGCTATAGGCAGGTAGTGAGGGTATCAATTGGCCGTGGGAAGCGGCGAGGCTGTTGAGATTTGTCCTGCCGCAGGCAATAGATCGGTCGGCCGGGAGGAAAGGCTCAACTTTGGCGATGTTCCGTGATGACAGCGGCGAACTGCCGTCGTGCTCTGTGAGGCACCTGGTGGACGTGGACGTGGAGGCTCAGGAAAGCTTGCGCCGCAAGTAGAGCAGAATCTCAAGAGCGGACTGCCTGATATCAGGAAGAGCTGCGTAGACTCGATCTAGGGATGGTTGCACGGCCGGAAGATGGTCGGATATTTAAGAGAGTCGGACCGGATTGCGGGAAGTTTAGGTTTGGGAGGTTTGGGTGATGGATGACTTTGGACGGACGGGACGCTCGTCGGTTCAGTTCCAGTGAATTTTTGGTGGGTAGGTACCCGGAGGTGCGCAGTGGCCAACTTTTTCCAATGTGGATGCTGTGATGATGGCGGGGTAGCAACACGGTTAACAAAGGTCAGAAAAGGTAGAACGAGAGCTCTAGTCTAGGTAGCAGCAGCCACAGCAGGGAGAAAAGAGCAAGCGAGATCTATCAACGAGGAACAGCTAATAATAAAGGCTACCTAGGTACTCTCTGGTGGCTACGAGCATGATTTCAGGGCGGACTCATTATGGTGCTGCTGCTGCTGATGATGAGCACCCCCAGTCAGCTCAATCCAATCCAGTGGAAGCTAACAGAAAGAAAGCACGGAGCCTGGATGCCCAGCCGTCGACGTAATTGCTGTTCATGTTTATTAGCTTGGATCCTCTGAGGCACGCCTAACACTGAACAGACTCAACAAAGGCGCCATTTGCCAGGGCTGACCAGAACAGCTTACAGCTTGGCCCATCTGTTTCATTTTCTCAGAGCTTACTATGCAGTAGCTACTTTTTACCAGAGAAGACCCGACAAGAGCATTTCGCGGGGCGCAACTCTTTGCACACTCCAAAGTCACAAGTCACAAGTCACAAGTCACCACTCATCAGTCATCAGTCACGATAAAATCCCGGCTTTCTTGGTGGTGGCCTGTGTCTTGTCAAGCTGGTTGCGGCTTTTATGGGCCTGCATCTTCGGTACTAATATGATACCGGTAGTATATAGTATATGGAGAGACTCCGAGATACACGACTGTACTCTGAACAATCGCGACCCCCTTGCGGCTTGCTTTCCGTCTTCCCATCCATCTCATCTTTTTCAATGGCCAACTACCTACCTAGCGTACCTAGTTACCTACGTAGGTAGAGAGAGGAAGCTAGGCCCCTGTTCGCCCGCCCGGCCGTGCATGGCATCCGCATCCACCTTTGTGCCTTTCTCGCCGAAACAAGCTGGATGGCTGGATGGCTGGATGGACACTGAACGGGTGTATGATAGGGGCAGCAATGCAGCTTCAGCCCGACTTACAGTACCGATTGCGACTTATCATTACGGGACCAATACATGTACATGTACATCGAAGTAGTGTCGTGATCATAAGCTACCTGCTACCTAGGCAGTAATGCAACGACACAAGACACAAGCGAGCGAAAGGCATCAGGAGACAACCGAAATACCTGATGTCTTAGTCTCGTCACTACTACGAGCCCAAGTAGACTTGTCGTCATTTCCAGCAACGGCCTCTCCCTATCAGTACCAGATCTAGAATTCTGCTGGCTACATCTCATTGTCATGAGCAATTCCAGACCTGCCCGTCTCCCATCGCTCCGACGACGCCCGCTAGGAGACGCCCGCGTCACCAGCGGCTCTTTTGGCCATTGATGGATTTCCAGCAGACATCTTGGACAGATACAGATACGGCTTTTACCCATTCAGTTTAGCCAACGGCATGGTCTCTTCAGCGGTCAGCTACTACCCAATCAGCCACCCACCTGCCACCACGCTGTGCCCACTACAGGCCCTCTTTTCCGGACCAAACCGCCCTCCAATTAGCTTCCGGCTGACCTGCCCACACACTCAGACGTCACTGAAGCTCAAAAATAGCCTATTTGGGCATCTTGACGCAGATTCTCAGCATTTCTAGCCTTCTTAGCGCGTCTAAAACGAGCTACGCAATAAAACACAACAGCACGATAGTAATGATTCGATAATTCGGGAATTTCGAGCTTTTTTTTCATCGAGAACCATTTCAAGCACGCTATTTGACATGCAAGTGAGCTCCGATTGACCCACAGGGAGTCATGGGCAGCGTGCATCATGCTTCAAGCATGGCCGTATTCCTCTAGCTAAGCATAGTTTTAGGGTGGCAGCTTTCCAGCGTGAAATAATTATCCCCAATTCGTCTGAATACTTAGTTTTATTCGAGTACGTTGATCTTGCAAGACTTTTTGAAAGGTCTTCCTTCGACATGCAGGAAACTGTCCTAGGTTAGGTTGAATACCTGGGTAGCCATATCTGTAAATGGCACAGGACTGGCTTTGATGAACAATGAGTCTTCAAATGATATAAGCACACGATTCATGTTAGCTATGGTTATTAAGTCTAGTGGGTTCTGAGCTGCCCAACTCGAAGATTTGCAATATGTCTCATTTCTCATAGTGATGCTGTTAATAGCTTGATCACGGATCTACAATGAGCGTGGTCCGAATTGTGATGTTTCAGATTAATAGACAGACTAGATACAAGCCTTAGATATCAAAAGAGAATTATGCTATTGTCGTGGTGGACAGAACTTTGGAGTCTAGAAATGACGCTGAAGGGACAGGGTTGTTTTTAGCACCATGAATCTGTAACAGTTCAATGATATCCTCGTGACCATTCATTTTTGCCTCAGATAGTAATCCTTTATCCCAAATATCCTCTGTGAAGATATCGGCCTTGCCTGAGTCGAGCAGGAGTCGGACTACAGCCGTGTGACCATTCTTGGATGCCTGGAATAATGGTGTCGTACCGTCGCGCTTATCTCTTGTGTTGACATCGACCTTGCCTGTGTTAAGAAGTAGGCTTACAACAGCCTCGTGGCCATTCTTGGCGGCCTGGTACAATGGTGTGGTGCCCCAGATATTTTTCTCGTCGACATCAACTATACCTTCGTCGAGTACCAACTTTACTTCATCCTTGTCACCTTCTTCCGCTGCCAAAAATAATGCCCCCAAGCCATTACAGTCATCAACTATGTCGAGATCAACTTTTCTTGTGTCAAGTAGTATTTGAACGATAGCTTCGCGACCCTTGAGGGCTGCCGAGCACAAGATAGTATTGCAATGCCATATCCTATTGATTTCAACCTTGCCTGTATTCAGCAGTAGCTTCACCAAACCCTCATTGCCACTGATCGCAGCCATGTATAGTGGTGTCCAGCCATAAGAGCATAATGAGTCTGGATCTATTGTATTGTTGGTGCCATTGCCTAATAGAACGGCTTGGAATAGGGTTTCGTCATCGAGGCCAAAATGAGCCATCAGGTGAAGGCCCGTACATATATGAGACCACAGTAACAGTTTACAAGATGGTCGCAATGATATTGGGCTTTGAAGAAAGCTGAAAACTCCTTCACTGATTTGACCAGCCTTGCGAGCATGATGCCCCCAACTTCTTGCGGCGTACTGAAAGGCCGAGGCATTATACGGCGATCTCCAGAGCGAGAAATATACTACATTTATAGGGTTCCACCTGGTATTGTGATCACTGCTTCCTATCATTGGAGATTCTTTGAATAGATCGAGTAATAAGTATGTTACGCAAGCATCTGCGATAGTGGCTTCGGCACTGGGAAACCAATAGGTCCATGTTTGATTGAAATACTCCTTGACCGTATAATGCGCGAGTTGAAGAATGCCATTTGGTGCATTCATGGTGACTAGCCCTTCACATACCGATATAATATCTTCGACATCTGGTATATTATCGGTATCGAGTTCCGTCTTTCCAGTTTCTACGGCCAAGAAAAGCTGAAGATCTGATATTTTGAGAGGTATTTCGGCGAATGTAGTCCACGATAAAACCTGCATGGCAAGTGTTCTGCGATCCGATTCACGACTCAGGATACGCTGCATAGTACTGTTGTATAGGTAATGATACATTTGAGTTGCTGACCCATTTGGTAGGTTGTTGAGTGTAGTCTTGATACTCTTGGCCGTGGTCATATCCGCTAGCAGTTCCAGCAAGCGTGATGCCACAAGAAACCTGCGAGTGTTAGTATATGATAGCGTATAATAGTGAATTAGCGATCTCACATTCCCATTGTCGCCTCTAAGATCCTAATCTTGATGAAGTCTTTCAAATCCTCGTTGGCCCTCCGAAACCTTGAGAGATTGGACATCTGCCCATCGAGATATCTTGCCACATCTTCGGTAGTAGCTGATATTTCAAGCTTTATGTCCCTTTCAAACTCACTATTTATATCCGGCAGAGATCTTGAAGTTGCAAAGATAGAAAGGTTGCTCATCTGCTGTATGTTGAAGAGAGCTTGGAGAAATTGCGTCCGCCGACTATCAAAATCATCCAGTTCATCCAAGGCGTCAATCACAATGTAGATTCTTAGGTACTCTTTTGAAACCGACTGGAGACTGCTCAAGATTTCATTGTATTGTGGTCGTGTTTCACCGCGTTGATGATGCTGGTCGTACAGGAGCTTTACGTGTCTAAAGGTTGACTCATCTTGCGATAGTTGTCTAACCAGCGTTTCAAGTAGATGTTGAACATTCTGCTCAGCTTGACGCTTGAAACTAGCATAGATAAAAGCTATACCCGTCGACCTGTCACTCCGAAATTTGTTAAGAAGGTCATGTATAACTAGAGTGGCGATACATGTTTTTCCTGCGCCCGGAAGACCTGGGGAGTACAAGTTCTTGCTGCCAGACTGGAACCACATTTGGTATTCCGGGGATTTCAGGAACCATTCCCCAGTCCCGTTCTGGATTTGTGCGAGTATTTCACTATAGTCAAAACCGTAATTGACAGGACTTAGCCAGTTTAACACTTCACGGGTTGCCATATTGTCTAGTTTCGACTCAATTCTGCTTGTACTGTTTGTAACTGAAGGCCGTTAGAAACCACCCGTTTCTCAACAGAACGATTGAAAAACGACTAACTCTCCCCAAGTATTTCTCTAACTGGCCGTTCTGCGTCAACCTGACTTGGTTGTAGAACTTCCAACAGTTCTCTAGCATAAGCAGAGGCCACGGTGGCAGCATACTCCTGCCAGTCATCATTCTTACGTGAGTCGGCATAGTCGCAGATACCCCGAATGATGATACATGGAAAGTTATTCATTAACCCTGCCGCTTCCATTTCAATGCATAAGACGTTTCCTCCAAGTTGCTCATTGATCTGGTTCCTTTCTCTCTCGGACTTAATAACTCGATTTCCAGACGCAATGAGCCCATAATGTATGAGTATGTCTTCAGGCTTTCTTGGCTCTCCATTCTCTGCGTTAGGGTCTTGTCGTCTCTCTGACCACGTATATTTAGATATCAATCTTGGCCAATTGCTCTTGATACGATCAATATACTGCGGTATTTTGGACCCATAAGCATCATGTTTCGACTCTAGCCTGCTCAATGCTGAAAGCAATGCGTTCGGTGGATTGTTCAAAGAGCCAATCCTTTCGAAACCACTGTCCTTCGCCTTTCCCAAATCCCATTGAACGACTCCAGGGTATTGGTCTTTTGGTATACCAATTACAACGTCTCCAAGGCTGACATTAGAAGAAGGAATTCCCCCACCAATGCCAACCATGAGGCCCATTCTCATCGATGGAAAAGAACTAATCATCCGAACTGCAACTGCAGCTGCTGAGATAGTCCCGTATTGGCCTTTAGGTAAACAAGCTATTACGATGTTGTGCTTGCCGATAGCACCGAAGAGATACGTGTTATCGTCATTTAACGGCTTGGGAAGATCGGAATGTATCTCATCAAGCATGGTCATAGCTGCTGTCAGCTCTTTGGGCAAAGCAGCGATCCATCCGATAGTGTAATCGTCGTACGTCAAGACCTTTGGGCTTGACTGGCTCTTGGTGATGGTCTGCTGCAGTTCTTGTGGACTTTCCTCGTCACCCGAATGATCTAACGAATCTGCTGTGGTTTCACGCATCTCAGATGAAGAATTCTGACATGCTAGGATTGACGGTGTTGTTGTAGACATGCTTCCCCATATCAAGCAAATTCCTTGTCTTACTAGGTCTTTAGACCCAGGTATCAGCTGTTCAGAAAGGGAAGCTATATCGGAAACTGCTTTAACTGTACTCGGCAACCGCTCAAAGAGAGGCAGAGAATGTTGTGCCGCGTAAATGCCGAAGAGGCCGCCTGCTATGGTCATTATCCATCTGATATTTGGTGACATCTTTAGTGAGGAAACCCCGTTTTTGGGGCAAATAAATTAAACAGGATTCACTCGGTAGTCAGTTAGTATTAGCTCGCCACATAGTGCCTACATTCGGGCATTTCTTTGTTCTTATATACAAGTCATGGTTACACACGCGAGAGACTCATCTTACAGACAAGGCATCCAATAACATACTATAAACTCCGTTACTGCCGCCCCCACCACCCTTATTCATGCTAATTTTGTGGCTTACCAACTTTACATGCACTGCCCGACCATATATGGTGCTTCTCGAGACAAGGCATCCAATGATATAGCATATAGTCCTTATGGCACCCCACCCCACACATATCACTGTTATCAGTCATGGTTGCATGTTGGAGTTGGCCATCGTTCGTTCCATCTCAAAGGCAAGGCATCCAATGATAAAAGTGATTGCCAGTTCTGTAGCCGCCGTGGCGCACTCGGTAACGCCTACAACTATCGCTAGATCATGGCTGGGTCAAATTCACCGAGAACGAACGCTGTTCCCGTGCTTTTTCAGTCGTTGCCCAGACCAAATTCTCCACACTCATTGATAAGATTGTCGATCTATTTCAAATCATGCCGTTCATTTCCCCTGAGGAAAGGTGTTAGAATCACACATCATCAATATATTCATATATGAGTAAGTCAATCAGCCGGCGCGTCAGTTTAAGGTTGGAAGTAATACATGCCAAGTGACGAGAGAAACGAGGTAGCCAAGAGTTGGCATTGAAAGAAGAGATTGGGCGAAGACAAGGCAACGGAAACTGGAAATTCGTAGACCCATGGACCTGAAAATCCGGAACACCTCCGCATCGGAACTTGACATAAACATAAACCTGTGCCGAATCGGACGTGCTGAGTCAAGACAGATCTCTCGCTTAATTTTGTTGCGGGACTTGGAATTGAGCGGCCTTGAGATATATCAATAGTTCTGTCCACTAAGAGACATGCTTACGCGGTTGCGAGCAGTCTGAGGGCAAGACTCTTCTGGCCTGCTTCACAGTCAACTTCAACATCAAAATCCGGATGCTTGACATTGGCCAATTCTGTGCGGCGTCGAGGAATATCCCTGCTCGGCGGTGAAGGAGAACCAGGGGCAAGTGAACAAAGCCCCGATCGAGGCTAGATAATGGGTGTAATGGGGGCCGACATTGCCGTTCTGCCACATGGTTGACACTCTAGAACCCCCAGCTCGGCGACAGATGGCCGAGGAGAGACAAGGGATCCGTGATGGCTCCTGTGGCACTAGAGCTAATAGTTTCTGACAAGTTCTGACAAGTCCTGCATCTACACAGGATCCAGGAGGCTGGTTAGACTGTCCCCTAACCCAGAACCGCCTAAGAGTTTTATACCCCGCAGCGAGCTTCTAATTTTGTCTAAACAAGTCACCCCAAACGGCCCAGGGACTACCCCAACTTCCCCACACGAGCTAATCCATATTGGCAACCACCATCGTGGCTCTTCACGACTCGACCGCCAGGGATTTTCGGTGTAATGGTTGACGAGCACGAGGAACCGTGGAGGTGGTTCAGCGCTCCAACGCTATGCTAGGGCCGGGGCCCCCAGAAAAAATTCAACCGAAGGGTCCCATGAGCGTCTTCCCCGGATGTCAAGATCCATCCAGATGGCTCAGGATGGGTTTAAAAAGAGGAGCTTCCCCAATACCATGGCTCTTGCTTGGAGACCTAGTTACGGAGAAATTCTGCAGTGTAGCTCTGGTGGCAGACAGTCGGCGGTATATCGCCTTCACTCCCGTTGTGAAAGAGTCCCTCTTGGCCCAGATCCGCGACCATGTCTCTGGTAAGCTCGTTGTTTCTCAATCGCTTCCGCCTTAACTTGTCATTGAGCTGCAGCTAATAATTTTACAACTGCCAGTCATCATGGGTTCAAGGAGCCTTTACTGGCACAGGGGCGGACCTCCTCTCGTCTTTCTCCAGCCCACCCATGTCAGCAAAGCCCAAGCTCCGATGGTGGTGGCCACATGGATTGGTCGATGTTGACGAGATCAAGAATGAGATTGACCAGATGTACGATGGCGGCTTTGGTGGTGCAGAGATTAACGATGTCCATCCCAGCATCCATGTCGACATGGATGCTGCTGGTCACGGCTGGGCCACTGGTCCCTGGCTAGAAGCCGTCCAAGCTGCCGCCGATCACGCAAAGGCAAAGGGCTTTCAGATTGACATTGCCGTCGGACCGTCATATCCAGCCTCCATTCCTACACTGACGCCCGATGACAAGGCCGCCGAGAAAGAGGTCGCCACTGGCAGAGTGGTCGTAGGAAACGGGACCACCTACAGTGGCTTCGTTCCCGCGCCATACAAAGCGGCTGGCGATGAGGTGAGCAATGCGACTTTGATTGCTCTGCAAGCTTGGAGAATGAACGCTGCGAGCAAGACCACTGCTGTTCCTGTTGTTCTTGACTTGGGCACAAGAGTCAATCTTTGGAACACTGCTTTGACCTCGAACTCGAACATCACCTTCACACCACCCGACAATGGCACTTGGCTAATTATCTCGTACCATATGCGAGGCACCGGACAGAAGGCAGAGGCTGGCCCGCATGATGCTCACGACGGTGCCGTCATTGACCATTTGTCACCTGAGGGCATCAAAGCTGCCACAGACTACTTCGACCACAATATTCTGTCATCAGAGCTGAAGTCAGCCTTCAAGACCATCGGAGGCTCATTCTTCGAGGACTCGATTGAGCTTGAGTACAGCACTCTCTGGACCCCTAGATTGCGTTGCGAGTTCAAGACACGCATGGGGTACGACATTTTCCAGTACCTTCCCGCAGTCGCACTAGAGAATCAGAAGCAGGCATTCTCCTTCAATGATACGGAGGTAACCCGAGGTGTTATCAACGACTATTGGGACACCTTGGGCAAGATGTATGTTGATTACCATGCGGGACATATGACTTCGTGGAGCAAGTCTCTTGGCATGAAGTTCCGTGCGCAGACATACGGATTGTCTACCGAAGCCATGGCATCCTCAGCGGCTGTTGATATACCAGAGGGCGAGAGCCTGGGCTTCAAGAATCTGGGAGACTACCGATCTCTGGCCGGTGCTGCTAACATGAAGGGTTTGAAGCTGATCTCGAATGAGGCTTGTGCATTTGCTGCCTCGGCATACACCGTGACTTGGGACTTGAGTAAGCGACTGCTTCTCGGCAAACGGATCTCACATGCTAACAATCAAACACAGTTCTTCAAACTTTGAACCCCATATTCACGTCTGGAAACAACCACCAGGTCTTCCACGGCTTCTCCTATCTCGAGGCACCCACTGCACAGTGGCCGGGTTTCGCTGCGTTCACACCCTACAGCGGCAACATTGGTTATTCTGAGTCGTGGGGCCCTCGCATCCCACTCTGGAACCACGTCAGTGACATTATGGGATATGTTGGACGCATGCAGTTGATTCTTCAGAGAGGACAACCGAAGCACGATGTGGCCTTCTTCGAACAAAAAGGGTACATCGGTGCCGGATATAACAGCCCCTGGTATGCTGACAGTGGAACGTAAGTGATCCATCCCAACCATCTCGTTTTGTCAGATGACTGATGTTTGCGAAGTATGCTTGGATGGAGCCTGAACATCATCGGGCCTTCGCTTCTTGATCTCCCCAGTGCCACCGTCCGCGACAAGCGTCTTGCTCCTGATGGCCCTGGCTACAAATTGCTGGCATTCGAGGGGGACGCATTCACTTCGACCAGACAGCCAATGACCAAGCTTGCCTCAGCCAAGAAGATTCAAGAGTTTGCCGAGGCTGGACTGCCTATTATGATTGTTGGCAACTGGTCATATGTGACAGCCTACGGAGTATGTCTCCCCCACCAGCCCCCAATGCATGAAATGTCAGAAGCAATTGCTCACACAACACAGTTCGGTGAATTCAAGTACACGCCTCAAATCACCTCGATCTTTGCCGACATTCTCAAGAAGCCTAATGTCGTGAACGTTGCCACACGCGATGATATCGGAACGGGAATGACCACCTTTGCTCAGCGCGGACTTCTGCCCGATGTTCAATACAACTCTTCTCAGCTCATCAATTATCACCGCGTAGATGGTGATCTAGACCACTTTCTCTTCGTCGCTGCCTCGCCCGCAACGTATGCTGTCTCCACAAAGACCAAAGTCCACGCAGTCGAAGCCGATGTCATCATCCCTAGGCGATCTGCCAAGGGCGTCCCAGTCATCATGAATCTCTGGACCGGAGAGATGACTCCTTTGGGACATTATGAGGAGCTCTCCGATACTCAAATCAAGTTCCACGTGAGTCTGCCCGCGTACGATGCGATGATGGTGACAGTGGTTCCGGTGGGCTCGGTCCCCGTGCATGCCGTCAAATCCACTGGGCAGGTCATCATCCGGGAGGATACAGGTCTCTATCTCCGCTCAAATCGGGCCGGCAGCTTCACTACGTCTTTGAGCAATGATAAGAGTGTCACCAGCAATGTGGGCTCTATTCCTGCGGCGAAGGAGCTCAAGGGATGGACTCTTGATGTTCAGGACTGGCAGCCCACCAACGACCCTAACAGCACCGAAACCGTCTACACTAACCACAAGCTCCAGCTCGACACTTTGGCGGTGTGGACAAACTTCACCGAGCTGCAGGACGTTTCTGGTATTGGCACGTACACCACGACTTTCACTCTAGCCTCCGACTGGCCCGAGGATGCCGGCGCGATGCTTGGAGTTCCGGACTTCGTTGGCTCGTTCCGTCTATCGTTGAATAGCAAGAAGCTGCCCGCCCAGCCGCAGCTCAAGACGCAATTCGACATCGGCCCGTGGTTGAAGAAGGGAGAGAACAAGCTCGAGATCGAGGTCGCCACGACGCTGCTCAACCGCCTGAGGATAACGCAGCCTGGCGTGTATGGTGTTGCCAAGAGGCAGGACTACGGCTTGGTGTCGCCAATCATGCTTCTGCCTTACCGCGATACCAAGATTTCATCCTAACATGGGTGTACGGTTTCCACGATTTAGCAATGCGCTGTGTATATCTCTGGGTTGCCGGGTGGGGGTGGGTGGTTTGAGGAAAGGACGGGTCATGATCTAGGTCGAAAATGAGCCTAGACAATTAGATCTAGGTATGATTATGAACAAACGATGCGATGATTTTAAACATCCATTGTATTGGAGCCTGACTGAGTGATATGTTTAGCTCTGCACCCGTCTATACTGGGATGTCATGCTAATTAACATCTGCATTGTTTCTGTGAACAATCAGTCGCGTTCAAGGTCCAGGTGATTGACTTGGCCCGTGATGAGCGGCACTGGGTGACTAGGATCGTTAAGCTTTGCCTCGTGCCCCAATTATACATAATTGGCGGCTAGTGCATCGATCCTTCTCAATCGACGTTGTTCGCATTGGGTTCGGTTTCCAGCTTCGACCTGGACCTCAGTCATAGCTATTCTATCAGTAATTCTCGGCCAATAAGAGTAAAAAAATTACAGGAGGTGGTCAGACATGCCCAGCCAACTGACAGCGGACACAGGTCATATTCGGTCGGGCTCGTTGCATTCCTACGGTCCGAACATTTCACTCCGTATCCGAACGCGCCGAGGTTGGGGCCTTGTCTGCATCCACTTTAATCAGGAACAAGACCAGGAAATGCAGATCAAGAGAACAGCCTTCAATGCGTGCGGTGCTATGAACTGAAGCGGGTGAACAATAGAAAGGTATTGAAGAGATTGTGAGCTCCGACCGAGGGCTGCTGGCGCATGCCAGATGACTCGTCCTACCTTATAGGACGATGCAAGCCTTATGTCCAGCGCTACTTGATACAAAGCTAGCCAATGTCATGGAACTGACGCGCAAACATGACTTCATACGGAGTAATACTTAGCTTTGGCCGAAAGCATTTTAGGGCTGAACTGTACGGCACCTCTAGCTTATGCAAATCCACCCAAGTTGGAACGCGTAACATGATGGGTCCGACTAACAACGACATCCAGCCAAAGTGGACCAGGCTCGGTACATATCTCGTTATGTCTGACATTTTACTCTCTGTTCTATTCGACCGACGGACTGGCTGGCAATTCCTGTAACACGCGAGCAGCTGCCACAACCGTCAGTCTGATAGGCTGTTCGTAGTTGCGTGTTCCGCCTGTTCCGGTCGAACTACCACAATGCAGAATTGTATGGTTGATGATAGGCAACATGCCTTTCAAGTAGTAGGAGTACAATTAGACGCGAGCGACCGGAGCTATGCAATAGCACCCAATGATGGCGGCGAAAGAGAGAAGAGACGATGTGGAAGCTTGGCCTCCTAATGCACGGCTTCCTTGAATCCCTTTTGCCGCTCCCGTTGGACGATTTCTTGCGAGACAGGGCAGGACGGGTACAGTAGGCGGTCGCGTGTGCTGCAGTCTGACTAGCCTGTCCCCTTATTGATATGTGAGAAGTACCGTCCTACCTAAGCACTGCAGACGAAGCAAGCAAGGTCTTCCATGCTACCGATTCGATGTGAGGCCATAGTGTTGGGTTCTTTTCTCACTACTCTGACATGTCACCGGACTCGCGTGTTCCCTACTCTCCACTCTGTGGCTTGCCCCTTCCTTCCCCCAAAAGTGATGCGCAAGACTTTCAGGGGCATCTAAAACCTTTTCCCATATGTGGCCCCAAGGTCCTCAATCTTGATGCCTTCTAAAGATCTCTAACTGCGTGTTGATTCAATTCCATCACTACTGTATTGTTACCTCGGCTTCTGTTCATTATCTCATGCTTGATCTCTTTGTTCTCTATTCCTTCTATTTCTAGTAAATTCCATTCGGCTCTCTTATCTAGAATACATCCATACAGACTCAGTACCTCAGCCGTCTCCGCGCCTACTGATTTCTTCATTTGCATACCCTTCACTCTTCGTTCTCATGAAAGACTCCTATGAGTAGTTCGTTGCATGGCTTCTACAATCACCATGGTCAGAAATTTTCTCGAACCTGGATGTAAGTGAACTTACTGGATAACCGCTATCTTTGTTCTTGTACTGATCCATCCAAGTCATTGTCCTTGCATTTACCGTCGGATCTCTCATCAACAGGCGTCGATATGCGAGTAATGGTGACATCGAGGTGTGTGAACCCGGTTGCGCAGATGGGTCTTCTCCCCTGAAGCCAACTGTTGTCATTCGTCCCGAGGTTGCCGGACCATCCGATATCAGGGATAATAGAATCTCTAAATTCCTTCGGATGTTCCCTTTTCTTGCTGAGATCTGGTACTGGAACCTCACTTATTGGTCAGTTTTTCTCAAAGATTGCCACTAGATGATGATAGCTCACGAATATGTCACAGGGTCTACCAGCTTCTGCGAGCTTTCTCTGCTCGATGCATCGCAGGCAATGAGGCTATATTCGCCCGTGCCCAGGCCCATGCGCTTTCCATTCTGCGATTGGAAAAGATTTTAGGCATTGACGTTGAGCTTCAGATTCAGCAGCATATTCTCACCAGCAAGGAGTGGTTGATGCCATGGTTGGCGAAGATTTACTACTCCCATATTAGCCTCGGGGTTTGCTTTATTGTGTACACCTACACATACTTACCCACACCAAATTTTCAGCGAATTCGACGAACTATAGCTGTCGATAATGCAATCGCATTCTGCATTCTGACCGTCTGGCGATGCATGCCCCCACGACTCTTGCCAGAGGAATATGGCTACGTTGATGTGCTACATGGAGGCAAAATTGGTGGAAGTGCGTGGACACACAACAGGTTCCAATTGACAATCGCAGCTATGCCAAGTCTGCATTTTGGTACAGCGCTGTTTCTCGCGGTTTCCATTGTTCACTTCTCCCCGCATCGGTTCTTGAGAGTCGTGGCACCTCTGTGGCCAATTGCGATGCTTCTGACTATTGTTGCTACTGCGAATCACTTCCTTATGGATGCGGCTATTGGCGCGGTAGTGCCTTTTCTCGGATGGAAGTTAAATCGCATTGTGCTTGTTCTCAAGCCAATCCAGGACCGAGTTGTTAAGGTGCTAGGGTTGAGACTTGATGATCCTGCTGGTTGCCCGATCGTCGAACGTTACCGCGATTGAGATAAGAATTATGAGTCTTGTTGCACTTAGGCGAACGACGTTGGTGTCTTTATTCGATTCACCGTGTTATAGATACGGACAGGTACTTATTTTACTTGAGATCCGGTTGGGCATATCCAAACAGCGAAGAAAACACTATATCAGGTGTTCTCTATCACTTTCGACTCGTATTATCACAAGAACTATTGGGTATGAATGACTTTTTAGATGATAGACATCGCTATTAATACACTCCTCATGATATGAGACGATTGAGGTCTTCTAGGAATCAAATCATATGAACGGGTGAAACAGTTCAGGCCCTACCTAGAATGATATCAGCAGCCTATGGGGAGTAAGGTTAGCTCTGTATCAATCGACATCAAAACGACAATCCACTTTACCTTTTCTGCGACGGCGTAGACAGTCGCCATTGTATGGCTTGCTGGTAGTAGCGGTATTACACTTGCATCAACAACCCGTAAATTGCTGACACCATGCACCCGCAACTGTCCATCAACGACACCTCCCTCCTCTCTCTTCCCCATCTTGCAGCTACCAGCTGGGTGAAAAACAGTAGTTGATTTCTGCTTGATAAATTCTTCAAGAGCCGCATCAGTCGTGACTGCAGCCCCAGGAGCAATCTCGATAGGTTGAAGGGTGGATATTGCCTTGGTGCCTGCGAGATAGCGGGCATATTTGATCCCATCTAGCATAAACAATACATCAAGGGGATTGTGTAGCATGCGTGGATCTGCGATCGGAGAATCGAAAATACTCGCAGACGCAGCTTGAACGCTTCCTCGTGAAAATGGATGTTGAAGGGCCAACAAGAAGATCCCGGTATCATCCCACATGATTTCGAGAAGGGCTGAATCGAGCGATAGCAAGTGGTCGGTCAGAATTTTGTGCTGGACTTCGTACCCCGCTAGTACGTGAGGTGGAATTCCATCTGCAAGATATTGAGAGGGTTTCTGCGCTGCCGCCTGAGAATGTAATGCTACTGCTTCCTTGGAAAATGTCTTTAAGGGTAGAAAGGCTAAGAAGTCTAATTTAGGGGTAGCGTAAGGCCCTGTTTGCTTGGATTCATATAGAGTCTTCGCCTCGGCTTGGAATGCAGGATCGCTTATCAGGTTTGCAGATGTTAGGGGCGCGGAGACTACTTATTTGTCAGGACTTTTGCCACTCGATCTCGCGGAAACACGCATACTTCTATTCACGATCGGGAGAAGAACGTGATCCTGGAAGTTTTGACCTACGGCTGGCAAATCCACGACCAATGGCACATCGATCTTGTCCAGAAGCACCGGATCGCCGATTCCAGAAACCTGCAAGATCTGCGGTGTGAAAATGGCGCCTGCAGCCAGAATGACTTCTTTGTCAACAAAGATAGTTGACCTTTCGGAGGAAGCAGAAGCAGCGAACTGGAATGCAAATGATTAGAGCCGTGCAAGTGTATTTCCAAAAGCCTCGACTTGCCTCGACTCCCGAAACCGAAACTACACTGTCTTTGATTTTTGTTAATAATCGAGTGACCTGCGAGCCCGTGATAAGATGTAGGTTGGCTCGTGTTTTAACCGTTTCGTAATATGCTTCCCTAGCCGAAGACCTTGTTGCAGTCAATGGCTCCTGATTGTGAGGGGCGAAATAACCCCCATACGTATCGCCGTTCCCGGCATCGACCGGAATATAGATGCCTGCCTCCTTGATTGCATCTACAAAGTTGTCTATGACGGTCAGAACGTCGACCTTGCAGGACTACTTCTCACGTACGCATTGTTGGCCAGATGAAGGGAGAATAGCTTGAATGTACGGATCCGCTTGTACCGTGTACATCTGGGTCGTTCGTGATATCATATTCTGCTGCAATATCTGGGTTCGGGGGCGAGAATACTTCATTCTAGCCATCAAAATCATTATTTAGCGTCTAACGGAACCCTTGCGAGGTCAGCAAGCGTACCTTTCTGAAATATGTGAGAAACGACTCCCAATTCCAGCCTTCATTCCCAAGAGATTCCCATTGGTTATAATCTGACTTTGATCCTCGGTTGAAGACCATGCGGTTGAGTTTTGTAGAGCCTCCAACAACTTTGCCTTGGGGAATGGGGACCTCTCTACCAAGAACCTCATTCGGGGCGTATGAGGTTTTCCAGTCATACTTTGTACCTACAGCGCGGCCGGCAAGGCCTGGCACAGTGACAAAATCTTCATTGGCATCGCTATACGTGACATAAGACTCAATAGATACCAGATGCCAAATGTTGTCAAGAACTCACAAGTCACCAGCCTCAATTACTAGAACCGTGGTGTCTGATTATCTGGTCAGCTGAAGCGAAGTTGCGATTCGGTCTGGCAGTAGCTTCTCTTACTACCGTCTTCAGAGAGTCGATTCGCCACCGTCAATCCGCTAGCTCCTCCACCGACTATCACATAGTCGTAGCTTGATTTTGGCGCTGCAGGCATCTTTGTGTCGTCGCGTTCTGGGTATCTCGATGGTAGAGATGACCGGCAAGGGAAGGCTGATTTTCGGGGGTTGGCGATTTTTAAATGACGTGGATTTGAGTTCATCTTTGTCTGCTACAGGGCTGCCATGTCTGGAAAAAATTGATTAGTATACATTATGCTTGCTCGTCTACTAAGCGCTTGCGAAATTGTAGTTTTCGGAATAACTTCGACTACCCTTGAGTCTCTCATCTCTAAGTTACTTTTCACCCCACTTCAGATTGATGCGCAGTCTGCTAATAGGCTGCAGGATATCTAGAGATCTCACGTAACGCCGTTAGACTTTGATGCATGTAACATCTATCATGCCATGCTGCATGAATAGAGCGCACTATGTCGCTTAAAAATCCGAGCCGAGTCCGACGATGTGCTACTATCCATCACAACCTCATCAACAATTGATCTATATACTTTGTGTGCTAAAAGCTCAAAGTGATGTTGCTTCTCATAATCTCATCTATCACATATCACTATCATATTCAAGAACCTTTCTGTCTCCTTGCCTAGTTTCTAGCCTCCTTGCTTTTATCCTCAACAGTTATTAGGCGTTGTCTAGTTGTGAACAACTATAGTCTAAGTAGAAAGCCTTGGCAGCTTGATTTAATGCTGCACTGGACATACTGGATAGACATCTGGGGGTAAAGTACTGCTTTAGCTGATGTAACCCGACTATATATCACTTTGACATGTTGTCGTTGCTTAGTAGTGGCTCTTTTGTATACAACCTGGAACTACACGCTGTGTATGACAGTACTGTGTAGTAGGAACATCATTCCTAGTCAGTGCCGTTCTCTTTGCACGTTGGAAGTGAGCGTGCGTTCTATTCGTCAATGCTTTCATACCTAGCGATTCCTAGTCCATTGCAGAAGCGCGACAATTAGATTGATATCGACCAGTCATGAGAGTCTATGAGGGGTTGCTTTGAGATCAAGCGGAGAACAGACTCCTAGTGTGCTACAGCATCACTAACGTTACCTATTACTTGATAGTGCTTCTTGGTGGATATGTGCACTTCCCTCTGCCCTGAACCATGGCCCCCTAGAGCTCTGCTCAGTGACAGCGGAACAAGCTGCGACGCCGAATCGTGGGTATTCATTCTCCCCACAAGGGGTTCAATTCTTGACAAAAGTACAGGTCTACAAAAGGTCTTATCCCCCCAAATTCTTGTCGGTCCAATGATGGCCGCCGTATTATGAGTTTGTGGGGAGCATGGAGGGAGATGTCGGGGTAGCGTCCCATGGCCCACTTGGTTCAACAAGCGAAGGATCGTCAAACACGCGTTGATGCCGGGACCGGCGAGAAAAAAACAAGTCAACCCCAGACTCGTGCGGAGGTATATAGACCAAAATACGATCCACTCAATCCCACAGATTTGACACAGAATATTATCGTACAAACGTCAATCGCAATGGCTGGTGGAAAGGGTACCGTGTTCGTCAGCAAGGCTGCTTTCAAGTCGTCAACACCTAGGCTGGTGTTCTTCTGCCTGGTGTATGCCATGGGAAGTATCTTCTTTGGCTAGTGAGTTTCTAACCGGTCCTGTGTTTGAAGGCTCCATTGTTGACATGTTAACTCTAGTGATGGAGCATCTTTTGGCGGCGTTCAGGCCTTTACGCCTTTTGTGCGCCAATTCGGTCACTACAACGAAGCCAAGGCAAAATACGCTATCAGCAGCGTAACGATCTCTCTGATGAACAGCCTGCCACTTCTCGGAAAGTTCACTGGTACCGTTATTGTTGGCCAGTTGACAGAGAGATTTGGACACAAGTGGACCATGTTCGTAACTTGCTTGGTCCAGATTGTTGGCGCTATCAGTAAGCTGCATGAACAGCACGATAACTTTGCGGCAATGATTGCTAAACGTTCTCTCCAGTTCAGGTCACAAGCCATGCAGTCCCCCAGTTCGTGGTTGGCCGCTTTCTAGTCTACACGGCTGTCGGTCTAGTTGAGAACGTTGTGCCCACCTATCAGTCTGAGATTGCCCCGGCCCCGTTGAGAGGCTTCTTCGTGGGCTCAATCCAACTTTGCCTAACCTTTGGATCTCTTATTGCGGGTATCGTCAACAACTCTATGTCGAAGAGGAGCGATGCCTCAGGATGGCAAATTGCTACCGGTATCCAAGCAGTCCCTGCAGCGATCATTCTGTCACTGTTGTTCTTCACACCAGACTCGCCTCGTTGGCTCATGTACAAGGACCGAACTGAGGACGCTCTGAAGTCACTACGTCGAGTACGTAGGCAAGAGGACGTCGACAACGGTGTTTGTGAATTGGAACTTGCCGCGATGCTCGAGGATGAGCGGGCTACAAAGCACAAGGGCTCTTGGTTTGATCTCTTTAAGGGAACCAACCTACGTCGAACAACGTAAGTTATTTCACGCATTTGCCATAAACTGGACTTTCGTTGACATCTTTTGCTCTCCGAAGTATTGCATGCAGCATTATGGCGCTGCAACAATTGACTGGTGTCACCTTCTCCTCCTCATACGGTCCGACCTTTTACAAGTCAGTCGGACTGAGCAAGATGGCTTTTGCTTATGCTGTGAGTATGAGTCAATCTGGTGCGCATAGGACTGGCTGACAGAAGACATAGGCAATCAGCAACGGTGTCTCAGTGGTCACAGCTCTGATCGCTATGATAGTCCTTGACATGTTTGGACGGAGAGATGTGACGTTCCACGGTTGCTGGTCACAAGCTCTGTTCCTTGGACTCATTGGAGGTTTGGGCTCCAAGTCCAACCCGTCTTCAAGCGAGACCGAAGGCATGGTTGCTTCATTCATCATCTACGCAGCGATCCTACACGCGTCCCTAGGTCCATCCGCATACATTACGGCAGCAGAAGTTGGAACTGGTTCTCTCCGAGAGAAGACAATGGCTGTTTCGGTAAGTTATTGGTCATCAAACCCCCAACCCAATCCTCGAGCGTATGACTAATGTGCATGCAGACCGCAGTCAACGTCATTGTCGGTTTCGTGGTTGTTTTCACTACTCCTTACCTCATGGACATCCTAGGTCCAAAGCTCGGATATGTCTGGATGGGTTTCGCTATCCTGGGATCCGTCTGGACTTGGTTCTTCATGCCAGAACTCAAGGTAAATCAAGCCGAATGCTACCTTTTCAATGTCCAATGCATGTAAACTAACCAATGTCTAGGGTCGTAATCTCGAGGAAATTGACCAGCTATTCGAGGCTAAGCTGCCAGCCTGGCGTTTCAGCGATTTCGAGACAACTGGATTGGGACACGATATCGCAGCCATGGAGCAGGGCAAGATGGATACAAAGCTGGCAGGAGAACTTGCGGAGGTGGAATTGGAGCAAGTCGAGAGGAGAAACGACAGGTCCCAGACTGCCCTAGAGTAGCCTGTAGATTGGTACTTGTGCCCCGGCCGACTCCGGAGCTCATACGTGCCAAGAGCCCCCGAGAAGGCTTGCTAGACCGCTGGAACACCGCGGGCTAACCCCGACACCTAATTAAGTACCTGGAGAATGCGACTAGAGTTCCGCTATCACAGTGCGCACTGGAATGACAAACTGGACTCACGTCATCTCATATCACCATAGTTGTTAGTATGTGCTATAAGAACAGAATACAAGTTATATCTGAATTCCTAATCTTCTGAAATAAGACGCGAACTCCGCCATTCTATCCCTTGAATCTCACCGGGTGAGGATTTTACCGGTAATAGGGCGGGATTACAGCTAAATTAGCAGAGCCCACTTAGGCAACTTTTAGTGCATTTCACGCCACTGAACCACAGTAGACTTTCAGTGCTTATTAGCGCCTTCTGGTGCAATTTGTAGGCCAGCAGAGTTTGATGTTGGCAACAAAGACTACGTTATGGGAAAGGCGCAGACGAGACCGACGGAGCTCATTTGAACGAAGTTTCAACGGGAGCATCCTCGGCGAATGGTCAATGACAGGTAGAGAATTTGACGAATGTAAACATGTTTGACATTGTCGTTTATGGATCAACCTCCGGCGCGGTAACAACGTCTATCCAGGCCGCTCGTCTGGGTCGATCTGTTGCGCTCATAACGCCTCACAAGCATATTGGTTGGTTCAGAGCTTCACTAACCCCGTTCGGACATGACTGCTAACCGATGGTCATAGGTGGCATACAAATCAATGGCCTGGGTGCGACAGACATTGACAATCAGGTCGAGTTCCAGAACAGTACTACTCTCGGAGGACTGAATCTAGAGTTTCATCAACGTATAAGCAAGTACTACGGGCGCTTAGAACGACTGAACGAAGTTGTAGCTAGCAAATCTAAGGATCCTGACCTGTGGCGGTTCGAGTCGAGGGTTGCCGAGAAAATTATTCAAGATTGGCTGAAAGAGGAGTCTCTCATCACAATCATCAATGTAAGCTTCTTTAGGTCGAGAGGTTCAAGGGAACACCTGCTCACAATACTGTTTCAGTCACCGCTATCAGAGGCCAGTGGTGTCGAGAAGGATGGTACTCAGGTGAAAGCGATCAACCTAGTCGACGGGCAGTCAATTACTGGTCGAGTGCGTCCACTTAATGATTTACATTTGCGGATCCAAAGAGCTAACTTTACTAGATCTTCGTTGACGCTTCATACGAAGGCGACCTTCTGGCATCGGCTGGAATCACCACAACGGTCGGGCGGGAATCCAGTGCGATATACAACGAGTCCCTTGCAGGAGTACGCGATGTAACACCATACCGCCAGATTGATGTCCCTGTTGATCCTTATGTTATACCGGGAGATCCAGCTAGCGGTCTGCTATATGGCATCTCTCCGGAACCTTTTGGCTCACCCGGCGATGGCGATCTTCATCTCCAGTCCTACAGCTATCGACTCCCATTGACCGACGACCCAGAGAATAGGATACCCTTCAATAAGCCCGATGATTACGATCCCTCTATGTATGAACTGCACAGAAGATTCCTGCGAGCAGGTGGAGAGCATTACACTCCACGGAAAAGGCTACCTGGTGGCAAGACTGATCTTATCGGATCGGAATCTGCCCTTAGCACAGATCTCCTAGGCATGAACGATGATTGGCCAATGGGAAATCAGCAGAAAAGAGATGAGATCATAAGGGAAACAAAGCGGTTTACTATGGGCTTAATGTGGTTCTTTGCCAATGACGAGGCCGTCCCAGTAAGAAATTTGCATCTAGTGGCGTTGCACGGCCAGAGGTTGACTGACTGGACTTGCAGGAGAAATACCGCACAGAATGGGCCAAATTCGGTTACTGTCGCGATGAGTTCCCAGACAATGGACACTTTCCGCACCAGCTCTACGTCCGCGATGGACGTCGCATGCTTTCCGACTACATCATCACAGAACATACAGCAACACGTGAAAGCGACGGCGGCCTACCACAGGTCCACGACCCCATCGCTGTTGCATATTGGCCGACCGACACGCATAGCGTACGACGTATCTTGCGTGACGGCAAGGTGCATAACGAAGGCTTCATCTTCAAAGACGGGCATCACTGGCGGCCTTTCGGCGTAGCTTACCGAGCGCTTGTACCCAAGCGTGTAGAGGCTGAAAATTTGTTGACTGTCACATGCCCGAGCTCCTCGCATGTTGGATATGGTAGGCGACTTTATGAATACTTTCAGCAGACTACTCAATGGTCCGCCCGAATCTCTCTCTTGCTAATGTATCGGTCCAGGAGCGGTAAGACTGGAGCATCAGTTCCATGCTATTGGGCAAGCTTGCGCAAATGCGTGTGATATCGCGATTCGGGATCAGCTTTCGGTGCAGGATGTTCCCTACGACGAACTGAGAGACAGATTGGTAAGCCAAGGTGTGGTAATCGATGCGGATACGGTGGGTGTGCCTCGTTTCGCGGATGAATGAGATAGACTTGCAACATGGTGGTTGATTGCTCCAAACGGCATATATCCATCACATCCTCTAGACAACAAGCTCAGAAGGCAGGTATTTTCTCGCAATTATACTATTACAGTGCGGGAACTCCTTCAGGATGAATCACAGTGTCGATAGCGAGAAGAAATGGACGCGAAAAAAACTCTTTTCAAGATTGTTGATCATTGATATTGTTAAATGTGCTCTGAATTTCAAGAAACAAAAGATTGGTATATATCTGCATTACTCCACAGGCTTGAAGTTACGCCAGTGCGTAAATGCCCGTAATTATCAGGACAACTATTCAAGAATTTACTGAAAGGTCACTGGGTTGCCATTAGGAAGCTCGGTGAGCCCTATTACGAGTGGTCAGCCAAGTGTTTAGAGAGGAAAGCCCGAACTACTCACATCCTTCAGTGTCCTGCTTGACAGTCTGCTTCTTCGTACATGCTTCAGCGGCTGTGGCAGACTGCGACTTGAGCTGCGTGCAGCTGTTAAGATTGCACCTAGCATCCAGGGCGCGTTGCAGAGCATCGCCCTTCCAACCGAAAAGGTAGTCACCATGCTGTCCATATCCGGTGCTAGCACATTGTTAGAGCTTGTAGGATCTTCGATGGAGAGGGTTACCTACGCATCACCAGTACTGTAGACAAAGGGCTGAGACCCATCAGCGGGCCAGATGCTCTTATCATTGAACTCCCGGGTATCCCACATGACTTCGTACATGACCTGTGGAAGACGGACCGGGTGCGTGGATGGGCATGGGCCGGTAGATTCAAAAGAACCGCTTGACGGGTATGCCACGTGGGCCTTATGATCAGGACTATCGAGATTCTTGCCATCCCAGCACCTAGATGCGATCAATATAGGATTCACTGTACCGAGATGTGCTGACTTACGTTGGGAAGGTGATAGTTGCGCGAATTCCACCTCCGCATGTGCTCTTAGGGAAGGCTGCAGTGTCTTGTCCCGTGCAGGGAGCACCACCGAATGGGTTCTGTTGGATATTGCTGAAGCATCGATGGCAGATCTGCTTCTGCATTTTCTCGCCTGATCGCAGCATCGGATCACCAGCAATCATACGGAAGCCCTGATGAGGGTTAGCATTCTGCTTAAATCGGAAGAAGGGCTGCCTGCTTACCGGTTTGAATGCAGTAACCTTGGTCTTGCCATCATATGGTGGAATGTAGTAAACAGTGACACCACCATTTCCTTCCAGGCCCAGATTGACCATCTGAGGCACACGTTTAAAAGTGCCGTTACGTGCTCGGAAAAACAGGCTTGCAGTCCAATAATTCGAGAAGTCTTCAGCAAACGTGCAACTGGTACATGATGACTTTGCCGAAGGGTCATATTCAACAGGAGTCATGGTGGCATTAAATGAATTGCCTCCAACGATCTGATGCATATGAGCACTGCGGAGCTCACCGGGCTGAACAAGGGGGTCCAAGCTTTCAAAGACAAGCTGAGAACAAGAGAAGCGCATCATGTTCTGTGCCAGACCGAATTGGGCGAGGGACAGGGCAGCCCCCACGACGGATTCTCGGAGCATCTTCATGATGATACCTAGTGAACAGTGCCAAGACCTCAAAATCTGGGGAAGCGGATATACAGCAGCAACAACGGGGTGAGAGATGTACACGCATGAACAGGGAGCGGACCGCAGTTATTATACATGTTTTGTTCTTCAAACTGCCGTGATAAATGCTCAACTAAGAGTAACGCCCACCGGCTCGATAACGCCGACTCAGCGGTAAGGGGCGAGACATGTGGTTCGCGAGGCCAAGTGCCGTTGATTAAACATTTGACAGTTAATGTATTCTGCAACCAATCAAGCTGATTGGATGTTGCCGAGTTTACCTTAATGCAGACGTCGGAGTTTTATTACCCAATGGTCACGACCACATATACGTTCCCCGCAGAGCCTTTAGCCTCAAAGTCCGAATAACATCTCCTGCCAATCGCAGACAGATATTTTGATCAACTTCGCCGCTGGCGTTGCTAATCAGGGTTGCTCTTGGCGGGTATTTGAGTTATCCTTGGCAGTTTTGTAACCTGGGATACGCCATTGCCGAGACGTCTATCTGCTTCTTGAACAGTCCAGGAGCGAGCCCATCATTGCCCCTGTCGGATACAACAAGCTCTTAGTATATGTCTGATCTAATGGATAGCCGCACAATTCCCGAGCATTCGCAATTTGTAGTAAACACTGTCCTTTAATGACATCCAGGCGTGGAGCAAAGCCACGAGGATGTCCACTTCTGCCGTTGGTCCGCTCCATGAATGTGGAATGTCGGCAGAAGATAATTCGAGCGAAATGCTATCGAAACAAGATATCTTCGAGCGTTGTTGATCTGGCACGGATAGCTTCCATGATCTGACCTTCCATAAGACCGCATACATAGGCGTCACCAACAAGTTCAAAAGACTCTTGTTGGTTTCGAACAATTAACGGCACCCGACAACCAAGCAGAACGGCAACCTGATCGCCTTGACGAGTTCCCATGGGCGCCAACCCCATATAGCCCATTTCTGTCACGAAGAATACCCTTTTTGTTGTTATCGGACTATTAAAGCGTTGCCAGAAGTGATAATCGTCGTTCTTTTTATATTGTTCTCCCCAAAGAGTTTCATCGTGTCTTTTCGAATAACCACCAAACTCTTCTTCCATGATCAGCCTCGAATCCCGGCTCCAGAATAAAGCCTCATTTTCGATGGCAAGAACGGATGGCAATGTGACTTCATACTCTGGTCTTTCCTCGTATGTCCAGTCCAGGCGAAGATGATCTGTGAACCATGAAGTCATTTCATACTTTTTGAATGCTTGTCTCATGGCCCTTATAAACCCACTGAAGTATACGGTTTTGAAATGTTTGAAGTACGCTTCTGGATCTTCAAAAGTACTTCTAGTCAGTGTCCTGTAAAGCGCGACTCTCCAAGGTATCCCGCCAGATTTGACCCTGTCACCACGAACTGATGCTGCGAACAACGACCATTTCCACAACCGTCGCATGTCATTGATACCTGGCGGGGAGATCTCGACAATTTTGTCAAATAAGATGCCTCTCGTTCTCAAGAGCCACGGGGTAGGTGTACGCCAGTATGTAAGCACTGCCTTGTCAACTCGTGAGTATTCTTCCAAGTACGGATGTCTCCCTTCAAAATCAGGAACCCAAGAGGGCAAGAGACTCGAGCGGCTGGAGGAATGACCGGTACCCGCATATGAAATCATTGTCAGATTACTCAGGCCTCTATCTTCCAATGCATATAGCATGAGTTCTTTGTACAGTTGCGGTGGTGTCATCGAGTAGTCCTGACGGAGAGGAATTTCAGACAGTTCAAGAAACGCAACGAGAGCAAACACTTTATCTCGTGGATCGGTAGTCTCGAAGTCCGATGTTGCGAACATAGCTTCGATAAGCCTAGCTATATCTGTTGGGCGATCTGCGTAAGGGGTATTGTATGTCAGAGGTCTTGCTCGTTCTTGTACGGTCCTTTGGAAAAAGGCTAAGTTGCAAGATCTGATGAGGTCTTTCTCAGCTGCCGTTGTGAGTGAGGATGTCTCGAACTCAGTGCTGATGATATTATTCCATATTCGGACAGCCTGGAGTATATCGGCGCCTACAAGCTCTAGATTGCCACAAAGAATCAGAGCCGTGGTAGCATAAAACTCTTGGACTATCCACAACCTCCTCCAATATGGCCGATTTAGGAGGCCACGCACGGCACGCCAATATAGATCGTTGAAAGGATTTTTCATGACGTTAAGTGTGTCGGCTAAGCGCTCAGCACCGTAAGAGCCAACTCTGACTGCGTCTTCCGTCGTGACCCAGCTTTTGATGAAAGCAAATGCTTGACTAATGTCTTCATTTGATTCCCCTAACCAGGATACGACAGTACTCGCTCTGCTGTAGATATGGCCCATAAATGGTAATTGGCCGTTCTTCTCAACTATGTCATCCTGGTTGATACACAAGGCGTCAACCCAGATGAACCAGATATCGTTCCGCATTCGAAGAGTACGAAGCGCTGCGAATAAGTTGACGGTCACATCAAACAGGGTTCCGTTCAATATGATTTCGCGAGTGATAGCGGGACTGCCCCAGACGTAAGATAAAGCCACATACTTTGGCGCGAAATCAAGATTGAATCGGTATGCTGTGAGCTTGATGGGATCGTCGTCGCCATGAGGAGCGGGCTCGATCGTGAGTAATCGGATCTGAGGTGGATACCTTTCTAACCGCTGCCCATAGATATTAGCCTCCGCAACAGGCTCCATCGATCCGAGAGAGGGATTCAACGCGAGTTGGGCAGATTATAACATGACGCAAAGTTTCTATCATGTTGCTTTAATTGCTAGGCAGAAGAGTGTTCTCTCATTCATTGAACTGCGCCTAGCTGCGTGTTTTTTCAACTAGTGGTTTGTGCTTGCATAGCCACTTCGAAGCCACAGCCTAGCGAACGTGATTTGATGCGCCACCTTATCAACGCAAGATATATCTTGCATGTTGTGATAAACGTAAAAGAGAAGTTTCGCAAGATGAATTTTTCTTTGACTCTGTGCGCTATATGTTAAGTATATGAAGAAGATTATATTACAACGTCTGAATTAGTATTGTCAAAAAAACGATCTACGCTAAGACAAGAGGGTTTAATCTCTAGCTACGTAACAATGTCGCGTTGACTGAGCTGGGTACAAAGTTCATTAAGAATTTTACGATGATTCATGTTCTAAATCTCATATTCTAGTCTACTAGGTAGAGAGAGGGCAGACATTTGTAGGAAGAAATAAAAGGTTTATGTACTAGACAAGTTAGCAACTATTTTCGAATCCAGTGTTCTCTGGCACACTCTCTTTTGAAGAAAGAGATAGGCTCATATAGTATATTAAGTATGACTTCATACTAGCTACTTCAGAAAAGCTAGCCGACTCCTCGTTTGCCAAAGATTGTCTACGAAAGCCAGAACGCAAGTAAGTGTCAAAACAAATTGTTCTAGTTTCTCTCAAAAATCAGTATTTTCCCTTCAAAGACCTCTAAGATTTTAGATTTTAGTTACTATAATTATAGAACTCTTACTGCTATAGTTATAGGACTTCTACTACTACAGTTATTGGACTTCTACTACTATAGTTACAGGGCTTCTACCACTATAGTTATAAGGCTTCTACTACTATATAGCCTGCTTGGCCTGCAGGTTAGTCGCAAACTCCTCGTTGATGTTGGCGTAGTCCTCCGGGCCATACGGATCCGTTATCTCGTTGAACCAGCCATTCTTGCGGTGCACGGCGAGGCCCATGTCCGCCATCATCATGTCCAAGTACGGCACGGCCTCGAATATGAAATCGGGGAACCTGGCGCCAATGTCCCTGGGATAGCGCCACTTGCCGAAGCGGTTGTGCAGGACCGTCTGCCAGTGGACCTCGTCGAGCGTGAGGATGGCACTGCCCGCTTGGCCGGCGGTGTCGGCCTGCTTGTTCACGCCGACGGGCACAACGGCAGAGCTCGGGTCGCGGGCGAGGGTGCCGTCGAAGAAGGCGCTGATCCAGAGGCCCTGGACGTGCGCGCAGATGACGTTGCTGAAGTTGCCGACACCGCCGGCGAAGGCGAGGTCCTTTGTGCGGAGAAACTCAGCGGTGCCGGGGACCATGAAGTGGTAGAGCATCATCGGGGTGTAGGGGTTGGTGGGCGCCGAGATGGCGTCAGAGGCGGGTGTGCTGAAGGCCTTGGTCTCGGTCAAGGGCACGTAGTTCGGGTTGAACTTCATGGGTACCTTGAGACGGGGGAAGCGCTCTTGGATCTCGGCATCGGCCTTGTCGAGGAGGTCGGTGCGGGACGCGAGGCCCTCGTCAGGAGACCGACCCTCGTCGTTGGCGGTGGGGATGTAAGGCAGACCGATCTTGCGGTCGATACCCTCGGGCAGGAACTTCAACGTCGGGAGGCTCTTCCAGCCAGTCACGGCGAGGAAGGCGTCCGACTCGAGCACGGTGCCCTCGGCATCATCAAGGTGGATCTTGCCCTCGCTGAGGTGCGACAGGTCAGCCTCGTGGATACGCACGGTGCCGTTGCGGATCGGCTCGAAGAAGTCAGTGTCGTAGTTGAGGATGCTGAAGGAGGTTCCCGTGTGCATGGCCTCGGCGGTGGGCTTGAGCTTGGCGAGCTCGGGATCCTTGTCGAAGCCCATGAGGCCGATGACGTCGGCGGCGATGGCGCTCCAGAAGCCGTTGGTGATGGCGCGGCCGAGGGCGGTGCCGTGCCAAAAGGACTTGATGCCGTGGTAGCCGCTGTCCTGGTCCCAGATGCAGGGGCCGAACCAGTGAAGCAGGCGGGTGTCTGCGCGCGTGTCAACACAAAAGTCGACTTAATGAAGATGTGGCGCCTGGTTGATGAGTACTTACTAACGAGCTTCTCAAGCCACTTCTTCAGCGGCGTCACGAAAGGCGGCGACATCCATCCTGGGCCATGGCCGGTCGCTGAGTGGTCAGTCAATGCTGTCAGCCTGTCACTCACACGGCTAATAGAGATTTGCACCACTTACGTCGAATGATCCAGTCCACCTTGACGCCTTGCGTGCCGTAGGCGTAAACGGCATCCCAAGCAGACTTAGTGCCTCCGAAGACGGTAACCCGCTTCTCAGCGTTGATCGTGTCTTTATGCTCCCGGAAATCCTTGCTGTGGAAGATCGGCCTGCCGTACTCTTCCTGGCCTTTGATGTGTGGCATCCAAGGCTCGGACACCTGGCCCATCGCGACGACGAGCCTTTTGACGAGCAGCTTCGTCGCTGCGGCGTCGCCCTCTTTCTTCGTCTCGACGACCCAGCCGCCCTCGGCCTGGTGCTCTGCCGAGAGGACCTTGGTGTTGAGCCGGATGTGCTTGTCGATGCCGAACTCGCGCGCGTAGGCCTCCAGGTAGTCGTGGATCACAGGGCCGGGAACATGCTCCCGCGGCTTGACGCCGAAGCGCTCAGTTGTCATGGGGAAGTCCGGGTACTCGTAGGTGCCGTGGAGGTTGTTGGACTTGAGACCCGGGTAGATGCGCTCGGTAGACCACACACCGCCGACGGTGCTGTAGGCGTCGAGGACCGCGAGCGAGTGGTCCGGGTGCGAGACATGATACTGCTTCGCGGCAGCGAGGCCGTAGGTGCCTGCGAGCAAGACGAGGTCAGCATCAGGTTCCTGTACAGTACCTCGTGGGCACACAGCAAAGCCCAGCCATGGCTTTCGAAAGGCTTACCCGCTCCGATCACGACGAGGTCCAACTGCTCCATGGCAAAGAGCTTCGCAACAGAGACGCGAATGTTACCCCGAAACAAAAAGCCAAAATCCAAAGCCCGCTCATTGTTTTCCCTCAAGCAAGTCACACAAGCAAAGAGAAAGGCGGCTGACGTGAGCCTTGGTATAGGATCCCAAATCCCCAAAGCCCCTGGGATTGGTTGGTTGGTTGGTTGGTCTAAATGCCCACCCCGCACCGCCATGCCTGCCTCCTCGATCCATATTGTGCACAAGGAGACGAGAGACGAGCACCAGCTAGCGAAGTACCAGTGTTGCAAGTTTTTCCAGGATGAGATCACCCTATAAATGAGAGATGGTAGCCCCTTTGTGATCTCCCGACATGCCCAAAAGAGTCTTGGAATAGCGAGCACTCCAATCACAGGCGCTAGGCAGTAGAGCTGCCACACCTCCACGGCCTTGTATCTAAGGTTAAACCTAGTGGAGTGTTTGCAGATGGGGTCCATCCGCAAAGGCGCAAAGGGACGGACCGGACGGTCCACAGACAGATCCAGTACAGCACGAGGGACGGGTTAAAACCTGGTTTACCCGCCACCATGTCCTCTGCCCAACCCACCTTTGCCGGCATCCTGATAGACAAAGCGAACCTCTCATCAAAGAACCGAAAGAACCGTCCGCGGGTTCAAGACTCGCCTGCGTCGAGCGTGTCTTGTGGCCCCTCGATCGAGTGACAAACAAATCAAGGCTTCCCAACACATCTCTCTGTGTTAGGGAGGTAGCCCTCCTTAATCCGCACCTCGTCGTGACAAAGTGAGGCACACAGTCCCGACCAGTCTACACGCCCAGAGTTCACCGACTGCCCATATTATAGCAGCAGCAGATCCGGACCCCTCAGCAAGATGCTAGGAGCGTTCTAACTTTGAACAGAGCCTTGCGGAAGCTCTCACGAAACCCTACAAAAATAGAACATCAGACTCTCCTAGGTTCGATGCAATTGGCACGGTACACCTACAAATCATTACTATGAGGTAATCGAACTGGCCGCGACAAGGTGTGCGACCCATACGGAGGTTCCTATCCAGTGTCCTCGCTCACCACGTTTTTGGCATCTGCCCAATTGGGTCAAGCCTTTACAGTATGACCTTGCAATTCATACATAATTATCACAGTGACAGCTCACTGATGCTACAGTACTTATCTCGCTAAGGAGCTCACTAAACTTTAAAGTTCCTGACCTCAGTGCTTAGACCTCTATAGCATCAGTGGCTCTGTTCTCAGCCTTGATAATTCACTGCACTGTGTTGGACTGTATATTGCCTGATTTGTCCTGGTGAAGTGAGCGAGGATGTCTACAACCTCGATTAATTTTGACCACAATGTTGTCATCAAGCACAAGACTGACTATGAAGCGTGCACGACACCATAGCCTCCAGTCGGTCGAGGCTTACCATTGTAGAAGGATTGACTGACTTAAAGAAAGTTCACGATGATTCATGTTCTAAATCTCATGGTCTCGTCTGCTGGGTAGAGAGAGGGCAGATTTGTAGGGGAAAAAAGGGTTCATTTACTAGACGAGTTAGCGACTGAAAAACACTAGCGATTTTATCACACATTTGCTCTTCACTCATCATGATGCGTCGCACTAACTGGAACGGCAAGTCCATCCGCTTCACGAATTAACAGTATTGCCCCAGATCGCATGCTCATCAACTTGACTAACTGGTACTGCAATACTTGAGACGCGTATAAACCCATGTGGTATGTTGCGAGTAACTTGCAATGTTCCGTTTCATTTATTGGCTCTTCGGCAGTGAGTCATTGCCGTGTTCGACTAAAGAGTTCACCACACCACAAAACCACGCAGAACAGTCTTGGCGTGCTTGGACTGACCTATAGCAATTGGCTAAATTGGGCAGCCAGCTTACACCCAGGACCCCTTGGGATGTAATTATGTGACGACCCCATTCTAGTGGTGTATACTCTGAACTTCTCATCAGGGGATTCATGTCGTTATAAGACCTCGACAATATTCTCTGTTAAAACGAACAAACTAACACGCCCTTGCCTCACATGGGCGATTCATACGCCAACGTCGAGGTATGTAAATTTTCAAATCAGTGCTCAATTTTCCATGATGAAACCTGTATCACTCGCCGATATCCGTACCCATAGGCAAGCTTAAGGCCTATCGGAAATGGAATAATTTGATGTTCTCTGAAGCTACACTTTTCCTGTGACATACTTGCTCCACTTGAAGTCTAAGTTACGAGATTGCTAACATTTCGCTATCTATCAGAAGACGTTGATATCCATTAGTTGTAGCCAGTCACTTCAATTCTACCAATGTAGATGTTATATGAGACAGGCTATGCTCTTGCTCGATTATTACTTCCTCGACAATGTTAATGATCATACTTCTTTCTGTCTGTCTGTCTGTCTGTCCAAATTTGATTTATACATTGTGAAGGTCATCGCCTACCTAAGTCTAAACTCATTTCAAGATCCGAGTTCAATATACCTTGATACCAACAGGGAGATACTGTTTGAAGATGTTCGGCCTCACAAAAGGCTGCGACCAAGTTTTATCGTTTGCAATTTGTGGGTATTCCATGACGAGATCCCACCTGTAGCAACATATCAGCACGACTTTCCACTAAATGGGAACAATAAAAATGGTCTAAAACCTTGACAATTCTTACCTCCGCAACAATGTGACTCAGGATCTGCCGGATATCGCGTTTTGCGTCTATAAGGTCAGAAAGCGACGCCATGTAGGGGCGTAGTGATATTCAAGGGCCTTTGCGGCTGTGGGAACCATGGATGGAGGCTCCTGCAGAAGGATTGTCCGGCTTGCCATCTGGGTCACGGAAATGGCTGCCGTAGGTAAGCCAGCCGCGAAGTGTCGAATTGAAAGAGCAAAGGCGCGTGAAACAGTGCATGATGGAAACTCAAGAGAGGCGGGGCCTGGTGCGGAGGAAGCGGAGACGGATATCTCCTCCATTATACCTCCAGAAGTGGTCCCTGACGAATCTCTTGCACCTCACCCATCCCATTGCTGCTCGTCTCGCGAGGAGGGAGAAGGTTGCTTGGTCGGTGGCTGATTCGCAGTGTTGGATCACTTGAGTGAGGCATAGGAAATGTGGTCTGTGGTCTGAAATTGGCATGATATGTTTTTCCCATTAAGCCAAAATAGAGCAAAGATCTAAGGCCTACCCTTGAATTCAATTGAGTCTCTAAAAAAATCATCTAATTTCATATGGAGTAGAAATGTGCGGCCTCCTGCCTACGAACCACTTTGGAGCCCGCCAGTAGCGGTCGGCAGAGTGGGCACTTCTGCTACCGTAAGAATAGATATATACTGCATGGCGGGGCTAGCGAGTGCTCAATTTAATCAGGTTCAATGTTGAGGGGGCCTATGACGGTGTGTGTAAAGAGAGACTGCTTTAGAGAATGAGTAACACACACTGCCTGAAACCAATACCTTGTGTAGGGTCATGAACTGAATACGTAAGTCCAGGACACATCATCGCTCGGCGCTCTACCAAGTAGCCGAGCCATGGCTCTCAAGGATGTGCCAACGGGAGAACTGGAAACCATCAACCCGATCACATTGACGCCATGGGACGAGCGAGTGCGGATGGTCAGCGACGAAGCAGCAACGACATGCGTAGCGGAAAATAGGCTATCGACCACGTCTCCTACTCCTCCGCCCGGCGTTTCTGTAGCGCCATGTCTCTCGTCCTCGTCAAGAGACAATTCGCCTTCCCTGCCACCCAAAATACATAATCCTCCATTTTAACAGCCTCGCCCTGCGGCGGACCGGCCCTGTGCACCTTCGCGAACAATGTTGGGTCGTGGGCAACACTGCCCGCGGCCGCGCGGCCGGGGTCAAGGATCCCGAGTTCCGTCTCAACCGCGACACGGTAGTTCTCGATGAGGCCGTGCTGCATCGCCTGGTCATCAATATCACGGGAGTGCAGGAACGGCGTGTACAAGAAGAACTGCCGTGCCACCGCATGCTCAAAACTCCATCCGTTCTTGAGCCAGCGCTCCAGACGCCACGGGCGCAGGTCGGCGGGGATCGAGAGGCACTGCTTACAAAGGCGCAGGGCGAGTGGTTGGAAGTACCGCTTGGCCTGCACCCTCTCCGTGCCTTCGAAGAGGTGCGAAGATGCTTGGTCGAAGAGCAAGATGAGGCCGGAACAAAGGAGGGGGAAGTCTACGGATTCGGGCGATGGCAGGAATTGTAAAAGGTCGGCGGGGAAGTTGTCAATACCAATTGTGAGCATGGGTCTGATGGCGGACTCGAGGCAGACTGCTTTCCAGTCATCGTCGTGATCGTACTCGCCGGTATGGAGATGGTAGCCGACGTGGCTGAAGTCGAGAGTTGAGCCTTTTGGCCAAGGGAACTGAAGTTCGTGAACTTTGGTGAGGAGGGTGGGGGTGAGGATTTGGTGGAGGTCGGGCTTCATCGTTGTGGACAGTGTAAACGTGATTGACGTTTGCTAGATGGTTTCTATGAGGTAGTTCGAGGAGTTATATGGTCATCCACTTAACAGTCTTGACAGGCCTTTGTTCTGTTGTCTTGAAGTACAATGATGCTTTTAGTGATCTCAATAGCTACGAGTTTTGATAAGGAGGAGACAAAAATACAAAAATACAGAAGCAGAGATTGAAGAAGACCTGCGGCCACTTTCATTGTTTAGAAGACGGTTTGATACAAATATGCTATATCTCTAGTCTAGTGCCAGAATAAAGACACGTTACACTATTTTACAAGTCCCAATAGGCTCACGGTAAACCTATTGGGACTCACTGGCCTTTGTCGTGATCATGTAATCACTGACTCCTGGGATCTACTTTCTCCTAGGATCTGGCTCCAGCTTCTCGTGGCAGCTATGCAGCATTCAACAATGCTACGGCGGTTTCCGTATCTTCCATCGAGAGGGGCGCATTCTGTAAGAACGACGGGCTGGCAACCCGCCGCCCCGTTCTTACAGCTTTGCCCCTCTGTCTGCTCGAGTCTAGTTACCTCACTATGGCAAATTCTATAGCGGTTCTATGTCGATGAGCTTGTTAGGCATTTCCTGGCTTCCTTTACTTCTATTTGGCAATTCCCACTCGTCTGCTTTGTATTTGACTACTGTGGATGGTACTGCCTGGAACTGGCCCGGGTTTCCCGTTCTAATCATCTATCTTGGCTGCTTGCGCTCCTATTGGCGAGCTGCGGAGAATATGCGGTTGATGGCCACACACGGACGCTTGTCTGCCTATATTTGATGCCGTTCTTCGACTCAGTCTCTGCCTTCAAGGAGGATATGTCGCACCGTCTACGGCCCGTGTCCGCATTGGTATTCCCGCTCGTCGTCTGAGAGTATGTGTTCTACCAGTTGTTTAAGATCCAGGCTGTCATCGAAAAGATATCATGAGAGACATGCACTAGAAAAGAATTCAGAAAAGAATTCTATCGTTACTCCTATGATATAGTGTCGCTCATGAAATAAGGCTCTGTTTATGACAATAACCAGTGACTACATCAATTACAAAGCCATCAAAATATCCAGCAACACCGGGAAATTGGGTGATCTTCGCAAGTTAGCCCATGCTTCTTAGAACAATGAGGTCGAAATACTAAACTCACCCAAGTCCAGTTACAGGATCCCATCCCGGGGCAGTCGGAAATCCTGTGGAATTGCAACCGGGGTTGCTTCCGACTGTAATGTCATTGAAGGCCTCAGGGTGTTGATACTGTATCAAATGTCAGCGCCATGCTGCCCCAGACTCGAGATCATACAACCAACTTACAATAACAGGATGTATGAACCCAACAGTACTCTTGCCAGCCGCAATGCGGGCTTCGTTGACAAGAGTCAAGACGGCGCCCCAGACCGGCGCTGACAGGGAGGTTCCTCCGATCAGATACCATGATCCTTGGACATACACAAGTTGCCTATCACCCACTGCGCCAACGTCAGGATACGCACGGCCACCGTGGTGGTACACACCGCCTTTGACCGTCGAGAAGTCTCCGTCATGGACGTAATGGTGGTAGCCCGAGAAGGGCAGCTTCACCTGATCAAAGTACGCATCCACCGCATCGCGCTGGTAGCTCGGGATACCATACACGTTGCTGAAGCCGCCACCACTGGCGAAGCGGAAAGTGGCAACCTCATTAAGCTTCTCGTAAGGCGTCGGTGGCGTCGAGTTGTTGTAACGATCCCACTCCGTGCTGCCGACGGAAAGGATGTAGGGGCAGTTGCTAGGGAAATCAGGCGCGAAAATCAGTCCATCCGGGCCGGGTGGACATGTGTCTGGCTCGCCAACGCCGTCGTCGCCCGACGAAAGCACGGCCGTCACGCCTTGGAGGGCGAGTTTCATCCACTCGTTGCATTGGCGCTTCATGTAGTAATCGGGGAGGCCATACTCGGCACCACCGTACGAGATTGATATCACGTTGGTGGGCTTGAAAACACCGCACTGGAGCTGCCCCTTGTAGCCTCCCGCGTGAGGATCGGGGTAGACAGGATCAGCACACTCTGGCGCTGTGCAGTCGCCTGTTTCACCGAAGGCGCTATATGTACAATAGCTGCCGTCTATGGCATCAAGAAGAGCTATGATATGTTAGTCGGTATCAAAATAGTGTAATAACTAAAGACATACTGTTCAGGAAGCCTCCAAAATCACCTGTGGACTCGTAATACTCGTCGTCCTCCTGGAACAAAACAGTTCCCTGAGGGTAGATGAGGGGCCACGCCGAATCAAAATCCAGTGCTGCCTCCATTCCTACGGGTGGTTTGGGAAACTCTGGCGGGAATGGCTCCTCGATTGCGCCAATAGCCCCGTCAACAAGTCGCTCCTCGGGATAGGTGCCATTTGGAATCCATCTAGAAATTACTCAGTTTCCATGAACGGTGGACAAGGGGGTGAGAACTTCTCTTACGGGTACAAAGTGCTGAAATAGACATCTAGCTCGACCTTGCTATAATGCTGGTCTAGGTGCTCGAAGATGCCGAGTTTGTTGCCCGGAGCTGCTGTTGTGCCGTTCGGAAGATTATATTGAGCTGGCAGTCTTTAGTTTATATATCATACTCTATCTAGCGGGTAAGCCATACCTCTCGTGCACTCGGCAGTAACATACGTGTCGCAAGTAGTAGAATTAGGGTTGGGAAAAGCCGGCAACTTGGTAATGTGCGGCGTAGGGTGCAGCAGGTAATCAGAGCCCGAGCGTTTCTCGAACTCCGTCTTCCACGTCCTCTTACCAAGGTCTCGCGAGCGCAGTCGAGTTCCAGGCGTCACGTAGTCAATGTGCTCCTGGATGTAGCCGGGGATATGATACTCCTCGGCAGAGATGTCGCTGCTTCCAGAGGAGTGCTCCCACACGTAGAACTCGGCGAAGAGCAGATTCTCGGCCTCGGTGACCGTGGCGTCGAATTGGATCCATTGCTTGTTAGCAGATTGGCCAATGCGATCGGCTGCTATTCCGGAGTCTTTCAACCAATCGACAACGGCGTCCTTGCTCGACTGATGTGGCGCAAAGAAGTCGATAACCTCCTCTGCGGTCATGTGCTTCCCGTAGTTTGCTGACCCAGGGGTTGATCTTGACGTATTATTTAGCTTTCAGGAGTCCTCATAGACTAGTTACAATCCCGCGACTTACATGTCCATCAACCTATCATGGCCCGCCTCCAGATTGGACTGCTTAAGTCCGATACGCATGGGCAGCACAACTTCGCTAGACAGCTTATCCCTCTTGGTCCAGTGCCGTCCCCATTGAGGCAGGTGGCGTTCATGAAGCCTGTGGGAGGAGGGTATCTCCCTCTTGACCTGGGGTGCCTCGTGATGGGTCAATGGGCTGGCAACACCTTCGAGAGCAAGCCCACCGACAAGCACGACAGCAAGGGACCGGAACAACATATTGCTCAACCTTTCTAAAGAGCTACTTCAGAAGCTACACCAACGAAGCAGTGGAGAGCCAGGAAACAAAACAAACGAGCCCCTCTGAACAGAGGATGCCGCGAGATACGACGTCCTTATAAGAACGACACCCTGGGACCCCAGGATCCGGCCGGACGCGCCATCTCGGCGCGCGTGGTCTGGTTCAAGGTGCGCCATCACATCTACGCTGCCTGCAGCACCCAGCTACCATATCAGGAAGGATGGCAACAGCGCCCGGCACATCGGCTTGGCTTCGCATTGGGAGCCCTGTTTGTGGGCCGCTCGCTAGATAATAATGCTTACACACCGTCCGTGCGAACCAACAGCTGCCGGGGCCAGGATGTGCCTGTTCGGCGCCGCTCGCGTTGTCATTAACGTTGCTTCTGCCCCTCTGTAGAGCCCGGCTCGAGCCTGGTGTAGAGCCAGCCAGCCCGCCCTGGAAGCCTAGCGCTGGCTTACGAGCTTCTCGCTGTGGTTACAGCCAGGGAAGAAGATGGCTAGGAAAGCTGGGAAGAGAAAGGATCAGAGAACCGTGCATGCATCGTGCATACATGCCGCGGTCACGCATGGGACTATTGCATGGTGAACCATCATAGATGTGGCTGCTCGCGCTCCAGCACCGCACAGTACCCCTCATTTCCCTTCTCTCCGTCTCTCTGCTGCTCTTGATCGGCTGCCGAATGCAGCCAGTCGTTGCGTCGGCCAGCGTTGCAATGCGCTACCTAGGCAAGTGGAATTCCGGCTGCTGGAGGGTGGCCGGGCGGTGTAAGTGGCCCAGGGCGTTGGAGGGCGGATCGGCGCCACTAAACGGTGTGCCGTATGCACAGGCGGATGCCTTCCCCATAAAAGCTTGTTTATAAGCTTGGAAAAGCTTCGGGCGAGGCTCAGCGGATGCCAAGGACCTCCTTAATGCGGCATAGGGTTGGGCTGGATGTGGCTCGGAGGCCTTTTCCTCAGGGTTTATCTCCCTGAGTCTGGGAGAAGGAGAGCTGGCTCGTGTAAGCCATTGTGTGCGCTACTTACGAAGTGGTGCAATGCGGAAATCCGTACTCACCTCGGCGAGGAAGTCAGTCACTTGTTGGCTGCTATGAGTGGCTGGAGAAGTAGGATTGCGATGGCCGATCACCTCCCTCCAATCTCTCTGGCGGCGTGATACTCCTCATTCTAGTGTATATTGCGCACTCCTCCGCCAGGGTCAACCATGCGGGCGGGCACCGTGTGTTGTAACGTTATGGCCAATGGGTGGCCTTTCCAAAGGATAACCAATGCAATTCATTCCTATGTTCTATATGTCTGGATGCTATTTGAATCAATGCAAGAGGCGGCCTCACCTCCAATCCAACCAAAACACATCTGCGTGCCTATTGTTGTTTACTTTGCTTTCTCGCATCTTCGACGCCCAAGACAGCACAACACAACAGTCGAGTGCTTACCTATGCCAGAACAAAACCGAATATCCATCCGACAATAACAACGCTCTACCCAATGTCTATTCCCCGATTTCCAATTCCATCATCAAAGCCTTGACTTGGTCCGTCGTCAGTTATCAGGGATGTGATCCTCCACGGCACTCAGCGCCGCGAGGTTGTTCTCGCCCATGCTCAGGACCCCGCCGCTGGCAGCGCCTCCGCCTCCGCCACCAACGCCCGCGAGGAGCGCGACACACTCCACCACATCCTCCGGCTCGAGCAGATGCCATCTCGCCAGCGTGACCTTGGTGCTAGCCCCGACCGTAACGGTGAAGACATGCTCGGCCTTGACCTGCTCCACCTCGTCCTCGCTCGTCGGCGGCGCGGACAGCCCGTTAAGCGCGCGGAACATGTCCTCGTCGGTGAAGTCGTCGCCCATGCAGAGGACAAATTCAACCTTATTGGATGACCCGGCGGATTCGAAGTCCACCTCTCCACCCGGCGGTGGTGCGGTAGGGCTCCCGGGGACGTGAGACATGTCGGTGTTATATGAAGTGACGAGGCGCTTTGCGATCTCGCCCTTATTGATGAATGTGGGGCGGACCTCGAGGTTGGCCTTGCCAGTCATGACATCGACATCCCACTTACGAGCAACCGTAGACTCGAGCTCCTTTTGGCATTCGCGAGCCATATGGAGACCTTGCTCTGGGTCAGCAAGGCGATAATGCCATGTCAAGGCACAACGCTTGCGCTCAATGAAAGAGCCTGAGAATGCCTGTTAGCAAAGTGTCCCAATGATTAAAAGGTGGCATAACTCGACTTACCTGGAACCTTGTCGGTAAAGCTCTGGAAGACTTGCATGACCTCAGATTGCCAGCCCATGTCAAACTTCTCAGCCAAGTTTTCCCACTCCGTCTCACCGGGATGTCTCATAAAGCTCCCGTGTTCTGCGCTGAAGCCCAGCTCGCTGATGTGGCCCAAATGCTGTTGGAGGAATTCCTGGTCACGCCCGGAGATGATCCAGACGGCATTGCGGTGATCGGCCGCCAGCGCCTTGAGCGTGGTGATAACGCGCTCGCTAGGAATGGCGGCGCTCGGCTCACGCACGATTGGTGTCAGTGTGCCGTCGTAATCGAACATGAACAGACGTTTCTTGCCGTTGCGGTAGGTTCTCAGCATAACGGACCGGTCTAGAAGTGGTGTCGAGACGGTGTTATTGGAGCTAGCCAGCACGGAGACAAGCCGGCGCAGGAATTGGCTGATCCAGCTCTGTACCGTGCGGGTGGTGACATGTGTGTAGAGGGACTGTTGCATAGCCTGTCTTCGCTCGGCTGACATGGTGAGTGCATTGTTAATCTGATCACCAACGCCCGACAGGTCCCAGGGGTTGATGTGTATGGCGTCTTTCAACGATCCTGCAGTACCGGAGAATTCGGACAGAATCAGGGGGCCGTGGGTCTCGCGCTGGCAGACAACATATTCCAGACTCGTAGTATTCATTCCGTCTCTTACCGACGTGATCAAGCCGATATCAGCCGCTCGCAGCAGCGCGAAGTACTCGTCCTGAGACAGGTATTGCGGATAGTGCTGTACAGGGTTGAAGCCCAGATTGCCGTATTGGCCATTGATCTTCATGACTAACTCGTTGACCCTGCTGGCGATCTTGTTTTCGGGGTCCTCCTTCTCCTCCTCGATGGAGGTGGGGCTCGTAACCTGGATTAGGACGACCTTCTCCCGCCAGTTAGGGTACATCTCGAGAAAGCGCTCAAATGCCATCAGCTTTTGTGCCACTCCACGCACACTATCCAACCGATCACGGCCAACGATGATCTTCTTGCCATGGTACAGCTTCCTCAGCGCAAGGTATTTCTCGTTGACAGTGTCCGAGAAGGCAACCGTCTCGACCTTCGTGGCATCGATACCGATTGGGAAAACACCAACCTGTACTCGCGTGCCATAGGCATCGACACCGCCTGCGTCGGAGGGGAACTTTAGCACACGCGTACAGCAGGAGCTGAAGTGTCTGCTGTAGCTATAGCTCTGGAAGCCGATCAAATTCGCCCCGAGGACGCCCTCCAGAACTTCTTTTCTTCGTGGAAGACACCTCAGGAACTCGCTTGAGGGGAATGGGCAGTGCAGGAAGAAGCTGATATACATGTGCGGAGCCCGCTGTCGCAGCATGCTGGGAAGCAGCATAAGGTAGTAGTCGTGGACGACAACGACGTCGCCAGGCTTGTAGATCTCGAGAATGCGGTTGGCGAACTTCTGATTTAGACGATAGTAGTCCGCCCATTGTATGCGCTCTTTCCTGCCGTCGGTCGGCTCGTGTTGTTTGTAGTGGAACAGGGTATACAGCTCGTGCTCTGCATAGCGTCGCCATCTCGTTTGGTCCTTCAGCCGTATCCCCTCGCCTGGGCCGTCTGTATCATCCGCAAGCCACACAGGCACCGTTTTGATTTTCTTGTCATGCGCAAGTTGGTTTTCCAGTCTGGCCATATCTTCCTTAGGAATCCATAGTCCATCTGCAATTGGTGGTGTAGGGAGAGGCTTTTCGCCGTCAATTGGAACCGGCGCAGACAGGGAATTCAGGGATGGCAGGTGTGCGGTTGTGGCAGGAGGTGTGCCGGGCGAGGAGAATATATCAGCTGGCGTTTCTTCTATCTCGCCTGTCCAGGCTACAACTGTGTGGTTCCAAGGCGCTTGGTCGGACGAGAGGAACACGAACGAATCAAACAGGGCAGATTGTCCACGGCGAGTTTTCAGCTCCTAATTCACGATTAGCACTGTGAGATTCCTGTCTTGAGCTTATTTCCTCAATAATGAAAGAATAATAGTCAATAGACAACTTGGAAGCGCTCTTACCCAGTCAGTACCCTTCTTGTACTTCAACGAATGGGGAATGTTGAACGTGGCCGAGATGATATTGCCACTCAAAGCCAGGGCCGGTGCCCCAGCCCGAATGTCGCTCAGCGATTCCCGTCTCCGACTCATTGCTGACAAGCTCATGCGACGTAGAATATCGGCACCTGTGATTGCTCCCTTGGCAGCCTCGCTGGGCGACTGCGCCGCGACGTTGTCGTCGAGTGGGTCAGGCGAAGCAACCACCTCGCGGTTCTGCGGCTGGAAGTAGCTCTGGGGGCTCTTGCTTCCTTCGCGACCCTCGTCTTCGCTCGAACCACTCTTATAGGTTCCGCGCTCGAAGCCGGGGGTCACTGGGACGTTGTTGACGGAGTCTCGCAGGTGTGGTGGGAGAGATGACTCGCTTCGTTCGGAGGGGTCCGGTCGGTGAGTTGAGGGGGTCGAGTCGGAGGAGAGAATAAGTCGCTTCTTGAGGACTTCCGCTGGAGCAGGAACCCCGCCGTCGGACGGGGGAACTGGAGGCTGGTCTGCCATGGTGATGGGTCAATTTCCGAAAGCTACAACGAGGCCAGCAATTGCAACAGGGTGCCCTGGAGGGGGAGGGGAGGAGGGAACGATTCGCAACAGGACCGGGACAACACAGGATAGGATAGGATACACAATATGAGGCTAAAGAACGAGGGTTGAGAAGGTGAAGTGAAGGGAAAGGAGGCGAAGGGACAAGAGTGTCGTCAGGAATTGGCGGCGGTGGTGAAGAGATCGACGAGGAGGAACTTGTCGCTGTGGCCGTCCGTCGTGGTGGTGGTGCAAAGGTGCGATCGATCGACAGACAGCTCTGAAAGCGGCGGGTGGGCAGGCCGGTCCAGCCCAGTGTGGGGCAGGTTCAGTGAGCTCCGTCAGCCCAGTCGCTTTCTGCTAAGTCGCCAGGAGAAGATGCTCCTTTGCTTGCCCGCTTTCTTGTGTGGAGCTGGGAGCTGCAGGAGTAGAAGAGGCCCTGGTTTTTCTGCTCTATTTCCCTGTCTCTTGGTGCCGTTTCCAGTCTCTATACCTCAGGTAGAGCAGCCTAGAGTACAAATGCTAGCTCTATTGAGCTCTAAGCTGCCTAGGTTGGTATGTATGTGGCTCTGTAGCCGAGGAGGATGAGCGCCGACAGACCACGAATGGTTCACCGCAGTTTTCCGCAAAGAGGAAGCCGAACTACTGCGTAGGTATCTTATGCAGCAACAGCAGCAGTGCAGCAGTGCAGCAGTAACCGTAACCGACGAGGGACGAGACAATTCGACAATTGGCTGATTTGGCGTCGCGCGCGCAATCGGAGCTTGATGCTCGAATGGCAGCTGCTTGATTGGTGATTGGAGGGCCACGCAAAGCAGCGGTGATGAGCCGGGAGGGGAGGGGAGGGGAGGG